TACATATTGTTACATTTGCTTCTTCATACCATCCTGTAGCTTTTAAAACTCCACACCACTTGCAAGGTGGTTGCAGAAATCATGATCCCTTCAATACTAGGCCATTTATTGCTTTTCAGTAAGGAAATTGTCTTATGTAATTATAACAATATATCACATTGACATACTGTGACATATACACTATATAGCAATATATAATATATGTAATATTATATATCATAATATAGCATATAATATAATTATATATAACATATATGTATCACCTTACCTGGCTCCAAAAGCATCTCTTGTTTGTTCGTTTATTTATTTGTTTATTTATTTATTTAGTTAGTTAGTTAGTTAGTTAGTTCATTATTTAGTTTTGTTTTTCAAGACAGGGTTTCTCTGTGTAGCCTTGGCTGTCCTGGAACTCACTCTGTAGACCAGACTTGCCTCGAACTTATAGAGATCTAGCTGCCTACCTCTGCCTCTCAAGTGCTGTGAATAAAGATGAATACCACCACCACCCAGCAACCAAATAGCATCTTTTAAAGTTGCTACTTGAAAAGAGGAATTTTATTTACTTTTATGTACACCAGTATTTTGCCTCCATGTATGTATGTAATACCACATGTGTGCTTGGTGGCCAGAAGAGGGAGAAAGATCCTCTGGAACTGGAGTTATAGAAGGTTTGTGATGCACCCTGTGGGTGCTGGGATACAAACCTGGGTCCTATGGAAGAGCAGCCAGCGTTCTTAACTGCTGAGCTTTCTCTCCAGACCCCAAACTATGCAACTGCTTTTTGTTCTATCGTTCTATCTATCTATCTATCTATCTATCTATCTATCTATCTATCTACCTACCTACCTACCTATCTATCTATCTATCTATCTATCTATCTATCTATCTATCTTCTATCAATTATCTATCTTCTATCATCTATCTATCTATCTATCTATCTATCTATCATCTATCTACCTACCTACCTACCTACCTACCTACCTATCTATCTATCTATCTATCTATCTATCTATCTATCTTCTATCAATTATCTATCTTCTATCTATCTATCTATCTATCTATCTATCTATCTATCTATCTATCTATCTATGTGTGAGGTCAGAGGACAACTTGCAGGAGTCTGTTCTCTCCTTCCACCTGATGTGGGTTCTGGGGATTGAACTTGGGTCCTCAGGTTTGGCAGCAAATAATTTTACCCACGGAGCCATCTCACCAACTCATTGAGCTGCTGCATCCTCTAGCCAATCAGGAATCGTGTATTTAGTTATCTTATCTTTCTCCCTCTCTTACTTTTTGCTCAATATCTGTGTCACTTTGTGTATTGACACAGGATCATGCTACACACAGCCAGGGCTGTCCTCAAACTTGAGATCCTCCTGCCTTAGAGATTTCAGGTGTGCACCACCATGCCCAGCTTCTGAGCCAATGAACGACATTCATATACTTTGTTGTATATAATAATACAGGGTGCATCTGTCTTGTTGTTGTTGTTGTTGTTGTTTGAGATAGGGTTTCTCTGTGTAATAGTCCTAACTGTCCCGGAACTTGCTTTGTAGACAAGACTGGCCTCAAACTCACAGAGATCCGCCTGTCTCTGCCTCCCCAGTGCTAGGATTAAAGACATGTGACACCCCCACCCAGCTACAGGGTGCATCTTAAGGACATTGTCCTGTATAACCATGGTGCAAGAACTGAATCAGAAATTTAACATTGGTGTTATACAATCTCTATCTACATCTTCAGGTGTTCCCAAGAATAGCTTTTATAGTGTTTTTGGTGGGAAATGGAACAAGATCCCATCAAAGGATACACGCTGGGCTCGGTTGACATATCTTTGTTTTCTTCCTTAATCTAAGGCACTTGCCTAACTGACCCTACTTGTGTATGTGTGTATGTTTCACAACATTGACCTTTTGGAAGACTTCAGGCCAGTTGTTTTGAAGGATGTGTCTCAACTTGTCTCCTTCCCCGTGATTAGACTCAGGGCAAACATGTTTGAATACTATGCAGGTTGATGTATCTTCAGTAAAAAAAAAACATTAGGTATGTAAGGCGCTGGGTTTGATCACTAGGTTGAGCTGGGTGGATATTTTGGTTTTTCACATTTTGCCAGCTAGAAAAGTCAGTTATTGAAATGTTTTTCTTTCTTTCTTTTTGATTTGTTGTTGTTGTTATTGTTTTTGGTTTTTCAAGACAGGGTTTCTCTGTGTAGTCCTGGCTGTCCTGGACCAGGCTGGCTTTGAACTCACAGAGATCTGCCTGCTTCTGCCTCCCGAATGCTGGGTTGAAAGGTGTGTGCCACCACCTCCTGGCTGAAACGGTTTTCTCAGCTGTCAAATAAGGGTAACAACACACTTGGCTTCATTGGGTTGCTGAACTGTCTGTCACATGTAAGGCATGTAGAAAGGTATTTGAGATCTCTGTTTTTCTCTCTCTCTCAAGGTCCTACTTCATACATGCACCTGCCCTCTCACTGAGTCAAACTCCCATCCCTTATTACTATTTTAAAATTTTATTTTTATTACATGCATGTAGGCCTGCTAGTTTTGTTTTTTTTTTTTGTTTTTTTTTTTGGTTTTTCGAGACAGGGTTTCTCTGTGTAGCTTTGCGCCTTTCCTGGAACTCACTTGGTAGTCCAGGCTGGCCTCGAACTCACAGAGATCCGCCTGGCTCTGCCTCCCGAGTGCTGGGATTAAAAGGCATGCGCCACCACCGCCCGGCTAAGCCTGCTAGTTTTATATCGACTTGACACAAGCTAGAGTTATCTGAAAGGAGGTTGGAGCTTCAATTGAGAATATGCCTCCTTAAGATCCAACTGTAGGGCATTTTCTTAATTAGTGATTGAGGGGAGAGGGACTAACCCATTGTGTGTGGGGCCACCCCTGGATTCTATAAGCAGGCTGGTCCTGGTCCTGAGTTCTATAAGCAGGCTGAGTAAGCCACGAGGAGCAAGCCAGAAAGCAACACCCTTCCATGGCCTCTGCATCAGCTCCTGCCTCCAGTTTCCTGTGCTGCTTGAGTTCCTGTCCTGACTTCCTTCATTGATGAACAGTGATGTGGAAGTGTAAGTCGAATAAACCCTGTCCTTGCTAAGTTGCTTTGGTCATGGTGTTCCATCACAGCAATAGTAGCCCTGACTAAGACCATGTGCAAGGGTTTTGCCTGCATACATGTATGTGTACCATGTGTGTGCCTGATGGTCACGGAGACCAGACGAGGGCATTGGATCACTGGGAACTAGAGTGACAGACAGTAGTGAACTTCCATGTGAGTGCTAGGAACCATTCCTAGGCCCTCTGCAGAGCCATAAGTGCTCTTAACCTCTGACCCAGCTCTCCACTACCATCCCATTTCTGTTTTTACCTACATTTATAGAGGCCTTGACACGGCTTCATATTCTTCGCCACTCCAGCACCGTATGGCAGAAGTGAAATTCAGTAAGAATTTGGACACCCTTAAGAGACATATTGCTGTTAGTGTCACACGATGAGGTAAGAGGTCAGAGGGTGAAATTATTTAAGCTCACACAGGCTACAGTCAGTGGCAATAGTCCAGTTTTGAACTTAGGTTTGTAGGGATTGTGCCATGAGGGATAAGAAACCCGAAAGTGGCTGGGGATATAACTCAGGTGATAGAGTGCTCCCTAGCATCCATGAAACCCTGGGTTTGACTCCTCAGTATTATATAAACCATGCCTGGTGGTATATGTCTGTAATCCCTGCCTATGGAGGGAGAAGAGGCAAGATCAGACTGGCCAATAGCTGAACGGGATAAAGTTAGGCAGGAGAGCCAAACTGAGAACGATGGGATGAGGAAGGGCAGAGTCAGGAGTCGCCATCCAGATGCAGAGGGAACAGGAGATGAACGTGCCATGCTAGTAAAGGTACCACCATGTGGCAGAGCATAAATAAGGAATATGGGTTAACTTAAAATATAAGAGCTAGTTAGTAATAAGCCTGAGCTATTGGCCAAGCATTTCAAATTAATATAAGTCTCTGTGTAGTAATTTGGAAGCATCTCCCAGGACAGGAAAACTCCACCTACAACATACAGAATGAAAGAAAGGTAAAAAGCCCCGAGGCAAAATGTAGATGAATAGAAACAGGTTAAGTTGTAAGAGCTAGTGGGACAAGCCTAAGCTAAGGCGAAGCATTCATAATTAATGTCTCTGTTTCTTTTTGGGGGAGCTGGTTGGGGACCCAAAGAAAAATTACAACTACAGGCCATTGGACTCAGTAGGTTATTAAAAAAAAAATTAAAAAAAAAATGAGGGCTTGAAGGTGTGAAGAGGACGTGTTGTGGGAGGTGGGACCCAGGTGGAATGGGAGGGGCTGTTGATGGTGGATGTGACCAGGGCACATTACTGTATACAGGTATGAAGTTGTAGAATATTCTAAAAAACTTGAAAAAGATCATCTTCATCTATATGAGTTTGAGGTTAGCCTGAAATACAGGTGACCTTATCTGAAAAACCCAAAATGCTTAAAAGCCTTTTTTTAAATGCTCCAGGGCTTCGTCGATGTGAAGAACTGAGTTGGACAGCAGGACAGAATCCTCTCAAAATTCATACAGCTGATGCCGAGGAAAGGCTGAGTGAACGAAAAATAAAAGTGTGAACCGGACATGGTGGCTCCCAGCACTCGGGAGGCAGAGGTAGGGGGATCTCTGAGTTCGAGGCCAGCCTGGTCTGCAGAGTGAGTTCCAGGATAGCCAGGGCTACAGGGAATCCATGTCTCGAGAAAAAAAGAAAGAAAGGAAGGGGAGAGAAAGGGAGGAAAAGAAAAGGAAGGAAGGAAGGAAGGAAGGAAGGAAGGAAGGAAGGAAGGAAAGAAGGAAAGAAGGAGAGAGAGAGAACAAGAGACGCCTAGTCATCGGAAAACCACGTGGTCTATCTAGCTGGGGCTTCCGGTGACCCAACCCTACTTTGAAGCTCCACCCCGTGCTTTCCCCCCCCCCCCCCCCCCGTGCGCCCGCGGCGGCGGGGTATTTTGGCCCTCGGAGGGACCCGTAGCCGCCGTCTCTGCCGGCGTCCGTAACCGGGAAACCCGGCGTCCGGCGCTGCAGGTTGTGGTCCGCGATGTCTGGTGAGGAAGCCCGGCACAGGGCAGAGTCCTCCGAGGCCCGTGCGGCCGCGGTCAGCGACATCCAGGAGCTGATGCGACGCAAGGAGGAGATCGAGGCGCAGATTAAAGCTAATTACGACGTCCTGGAGAGCGTGAGTGTGGCCGGGGCTCCGGGCGGAGCGGACCCGGGAGGCCTGCGGATGCGAGGCCCACGGGTTCCTGCCAAGCACTAACTAAGCGCTTCCCATTCGCTACAACCCCTTGACGTGGGACTTATCTTCATTTTCTGAAGCCTTAACTTTGTGGTTTTTTGTTTTTTTTTTTTAAATGCAGCCCAAGCTGGCCTCGAACTCGGGATCTTGCTTCAGCTTTCCAAGTGCAGGAATGACAGGCCTGAAGCGTTAGTTAAGCTGCCTTGGTCACAAAGATAGACTATTTGCTGAGGCATAGTGGTCATCACCACGGTCACCCTCTGTTGGTAACGTTACCGGGTTTGGCGTCCCTTGCCACCCCGCTTTTCATTAGGACTTAATAAACGTCATCGGTGAGAATTAAAATGTAGGTTGTAGGCAGGAGAGGCGCCCTCACTTGTAATCCCGGCACTTGGAAGGTGGAGGCAGGAACATCTGGAGTTCAGGATTATTCTTGGCTACATAGTTAGCTTGAGGCCAGCCTGGGCTATATTGGACTCTGTCTAAAAATAAAATAAAGTAAAATGCAGATTCTCATTGGGGTGGGGAACAGACACTGCATTTCAAGAAAACTCCCAGCTGCGCTGCTAAAGACTGTTTTAAGTGACAGGTAAAGGACATTATCCTTACTGGGGGGGAAACTGAGGCCCAGAGTGGAGCAAATGCTTGCCAAATTAAGAAGTGGCATTGGTGGGTCAGATTCTGTCATCTGTCTGCCTCCAAAGCAGACTTTTTTTTTTTAAACCGCCAAGTCTGTTGTTGGTTGTTTTTACTCTTTTTTTTGGGGGGGGGGCGCCACCCATCTCCCAAATAAATCACATACGGAGGCTTATTCTTAATTATAAATGCCCAGCCTTAGCTTGGCTTGTTTCTTGTCAACTTTTCTTAAATTATCCCATCTACCTTTTGCCTCTGGGCTTTTCCCATTCTCTTACTTCTGTAAATCTTACTCTGTGGCTTGCTGTGTAGCTGGCCCCTGGCGCCCTCCTCCTTCTCTTGCTCTGTCTTCCTCCTACCAGATTTCTATTTATTCTCTGCCTGCCAGCCCTGCCGATCCTCTCTCCTGCCTTGCTATTGGCTGTTCAGTTCTTTATTAGACCATCAGGTGTTTTAGACAGGCACAGTAACACAGCTTCACAGAGTTAAACAAATGCAACATAAAAGAACGCAGCACATCTTTGCATCATTAAACAAGTATTCCACAGCATAAAGAAATATAAACACATCTTAAACTAGTATTCCATGACAGTGTCACATACCAGGTACCATTTTACCAGGTGCTGACCAGATGCCTAAGGTGCTGGCTTGTATGTGTGCTGTGTCAGGAAACTGTCACAGCTGCCCTGTCAAGCTGGTGTGCGCCCCTGAAGCTGAAAGAGGCCAAGGCAGGGGCTGGAGAGACAGCTCGGTGGTTAAGAGCACTGGCTGTACAATCAGGAGGACTGGAGTTCGGATCCAGCACCTACTGAATAACAATCCACATGAACCACAGACACTTGTAACTCCATATCCTTGTGGATACATTTAAACAGACACATTAACAAACACAAATCTCTTTTTAAAAACGTGTGTGTGTGTGTGTGTGTGTGTATGAATAAATGAAAGGAGAATTCACTTGCTTAAAGTCACAAGTGGGGTTCAGACCTCAGGGTTGGTCAAGTCGAAGTAAACATCTCGTGTATTATTATTCTTTTGGTATTGGCCTCCTGTTTACCATTTAACCAGGTGTGGTGATGTATACTTGCAATCTCAGCACTTAGGAGGCAGAGGCAGGGAGATTACCCCATGTTCAGGGCCAGTCTGATCGACACAGATGTCTCTTCCAACCATTGTGGGCACTTCATGCACATGGTTTGCATATATCCATGGAGGCAAAACACGTACACAAAATAAGTCTTAAAACTAAACATGCTGAGCAGACATAGCTGTTAGGGAATGGTCATTGACATCATAGTGAGGTGCTACTTTATACTCACTAGGAAGGGTATAATGAAAATGTAGGTAATATCTTAGGGAGAATACAAGGAAATTGGAAACTTCATACAACTGTAAGATGGTGTAACTTAACTGCTGTCCAAAAATGTTCAGCAGTTTCTCAAAAAAAAAAAAAAATGAAACAGTTACATAACCCAGATAATTCATTCCTCCCATGTGATAATTACGATAGCAAATGCATATTCATCCCCAAATTTGTACACATTCTTTAAAATATCCAAGAAGTAGAAACAACACAAATATTCTTCAGGTAACAGATAGAATATAGTCTAACCATACGGTGGGATATTATTTGAAATAATAAAAGGAATAGTGAATTTTATTGGATAATAAAAGGAATAGTGAATTAATCATACTATAATTAGTAGTAGTTCATGCTATAATGTAAATAAGCCTTGAAAACACTGTGATAAGGAAGTTACAACACACCATGTATTGTATGCGTTCTCTCTCTCTTATCTTGCTACAACTTCTGGCTAGCTCCCTGTACTTACTATATAGCCCAGGCTAGCCTTGAACTCTTGGCAATCCTGCTTCAGCCTCCTGAGTGCTGAGATTATAGATGAACACCATTATACCTAGCTTGTTTTTGTTTTTGTTTTTGTTTTTTTTATACACACATCTGGATAAAAATTTAATCTGGCCTTGAACTTCACTCGGTCCTCAAATTTGTGATTTTCCTGTCTTGGCCTGCCAAATGTTAGCATTGTAAGTGTGTGTCAGTGTACCTGGTGTTTCATGGTCATGTATATGAAATGTCCTGTTCTAATATGAGTCTCTAAAGTCTCCCCTGAAGACCTGAATGCTAGAAGTTTCAGGGTGATGGTCTTGGGCCATGGTGGAATCTTTAAGAGATGGAGCTTGTAGGTCATTGGAGGTGTGCCCTTGCTGGGGTAGTTCCTGTTGGTCACTGGAGGTGTGCCCTTGCTGGGGTAGTTACTATAGGTCATTGGAGGAGTGCAGAGGTAGTGGAGCCACAGGCCTTTCCTTTTTTTTTTCTTGCTCCCAGGATCATGATGGAAGTGGCTTCCTCCACCATATGCTTCCATGTGGATGTTCTGTCTCTCCACAAAGCTAAAGACAAAGTCTCCAAAAATACATACATACGTGCACACATACATACATACATACATACATATGTACAAACATACATACATACCTGCATACATACATACATACATACATACGTACAAACATACATACATACCTGCATACATACATACATACAACCAATCTGTCTGTCCAGTTCTGTACTGAAACTTCAAAGCCGTAAACCCAAATAAACCTTTTCTCCATCTGTTGGTCATGACACTCGGACATTTTCTTAGAGTTCCGGAGCACCTCCAGGATCGGTGGCCCTGTACAGTTGTTAATGACTGCCACAGGTTTGCGGAGTGGAAGGAGGATGCAAGTGTTTACTCATGGGTCCTGGGGAGGTTGGTCAGGCGCTCTCTGCATGCCCCCTCCTGTGTCTTTAAGAAAAAAAAGTCTTTCTTTTTTGAGACAAGGTCCTGGGATGCAGTCAGTCTGGTTTTGATTTCCATATGCTCCTGCCTCAACCTCCTGAATGCTGGGATTGTAGAGTGGGCTTTCAAAGGTTTTTTTTCTTAGGGGGTGTTGATGCAAATGTACTAAAACTGATTGTGGTGATGGGTGATTAACTCTTGGACATATTACAAACCACTGAATCGTATACTTTGAGTGGCTCAGTTATCTGTGTATGAATTCTGCTGCATTCCAACTGTTTTAAATGGAGGGTCCCAGATTAGCCTGGAACCTAAGCTTGTTGTCACGACTAGCCCCAAATGGGAGTGTTCTCCTTGACTACTGGAGAACTGAAGAGAACTGGCACAGTCCTCCTGTCTCAGCTTACCTTGAGGTCCTTGACTTGATCCCATCCTTCCTCACAAAGTCACAGTTAGAGGTTCCGGGGAGTAGGAAGTGGACATATCTGGGGGCCACTCTTCAGCCCACCATTCTGACTGTGCCTGGCTCTCTACAAAGTGTTTATTCAAGTCTATGTATTTGTCTTCCAGTAGGTGCGTGTTGTATTCCCACTGTGCGGCCAAGGGCACAGAGGTTTGGAATGTGTCTTAGATTGTTGCCAGCTTGTGTATGGCAGAATTGGGATTGAGATCAAAGTCTAGGCCACTGGGCAGCTCCTGCCCACCCCAGTACCAAACATTCCATTGCTTTCATGCATTGTCCCCTGATTTATGTAGGGAAGCTTCAGAAAAAACTTCAGGTGTGGTGGTATAGGCCTGTAATCCCAGTACTTGGTAGGCTGGAAGCAGGATGATTGCTGTGAGTATGAAGTCAAACTGAGCTGCAGCGTGAGAGTCTGCTTCAGATAAACACTTGCTAAAACAGGCCCTAGAGCAGAGGTACGTTCCATTGACTCAGGAGGCTGAGGCACGAGACTGAGTTAATTCCAGGGAATTGAAAACAGCCTGGATAAACATGGGCTAAAGATAAAGTGTTAAAATGAATGTATTGTTTTGAACAGGGTCTATATTCCCAATGTTCAAATTCAGAACCTGCTAATGGATATCAAATGCAAAAGCTCTCCCCTTTCCCTAATTCCCAGCCACTTAGTCTCTTCCCCTGGAGGCAGCCAGTACCATCCAGTGAGTAATGAAAAGAATCTTGGTAGGCCTCTTACATCTTTTTTTTTTTTTGAAGAGTCAAAACCTGGCCACAGCTGGCTGTCTTTGGAGTTTACTCCCTCCAGCTTCAAGGCTTCACCCAGGTGTCAGCTGGGAGGGAGGGGTTGGAGGGGTCAGGTCAGGGATGGGACTGAGGGGGAACCTCTGAATGCTCTTTGAGTGATGTGTTGCTACTGTAATTAATTGGTTTTGAAGACAAGATCTCATGTATCCCAGGCTGATATTGAACTTACTGTGTAACCAAGGACCTCGAACTTCTGATCCTCCTGCCTCCACATCATTCACCACCACACCTGGCTAATGCCGTGCTGGGGATGGAGTCCAAGGTTTAATGCATGCTAGGCAAGCACTATAGCAACTGAGCTGCATCCTATATCCCTAGTATTAAAGTTTTTTAATGCTGCAGAGAATCAAATTCACGGTCTTGCATATACTAATTAAGTGCTCTACCACCTTTGTGTGCACTAATCTCATGCATTGCTCGCATTATTTTTAAAGACTTCACTTTATTAATGTGTGTACAGTGTGGGGAGGGGGTGTGTTGGTGCCCAGAGTGTGTATGGAGGTCAGAGGACAGCTTTGTGGAATTTGTGTTCCTCGTCTACCTTTATGTGGATCCCAGGAATTGAACTCAGGTCTTTAATCTTGCTGGCAGGCGTCTTTATTCCCTGACCCATCTTTCTGGCCTCATTGTTTTCATTAGTACTCGCTGGGGACAGTAGCTGTAAGGACACAGTTAAAGAGCCTGGTGTGTGCTAAAGAGATCACTGTGTGGTCCTTACTATCACTTTTGCCGTGAGTTAGAAGGACAAGGGTCTAGGGAATTGCATCATGATGTCCTTATCCGTGAAATCTTTTTAACCACGTGTCTTTCTTCCAGCAAAAAGGAATTGGGATGAATGAACCTCTGGTGGACTGCGAGGGCTATCCCCGGGCAGATGTGGACCTGTACCAGGTCCGAACAGCAAGGCACAACATCATCTGTGAGTGACCCTCGCTGGGGTTCTGGCTTAGCCTGCGGTGGGGATGCTGAAGACACAGGGGGATGATTAATGTTGAGCATTACAAAGCTTTTCTGCTTTGACAGAATATTTTGTCACCCCTGTGGGACTGACAGCCAAGGGACTAGAGGAGACTAAAGAGTTCCATGGTGAGGGGTTTCTTTTTCTATTTGAAGTACTTTGCTTGATAGTCGGGTGTGGTGGCACACGCCTTTAATCCCAACACTCCGGAGGCAGAAGCAGGTGGATGGATCTCTGTGAGTTCGAGGCCAGCCTGATCTACAGAGCGAGTTCCAGGACAACCACCTGTAGAGAGACCCTGTCTAAAAAAACAAACAAACCAAAAAACCCAAACAAACTCAAAAATACAAAAACAAACAAAACAAAACACTTACTTTCCAGCTGGGCATGGTGGTGCCCACCTATAATGACCAGGTGTTTGAGCCAGTCTGGGCTGTATAAGGAAGTAAAAAGCAAGGAACGAAAACTTTATTTCATTTTGGGAACTTTACCGAATTAACAGTAGAAGCCTTTACCAGTACCGCTTACCAGCTTACCCATCAAATTCATGAAGTAGAGTCAGGTCTGAGGGTAGTGACCTGACTGTCTCCATTCAAACAGGAAAGCCCTGGACTGGCACTCAGTGGGGACCCTTGAATCGTGCAGTACAAGGGTCAGCAAAAACCAGGCTCTGCCTCTGTCTGTCTTCAGGGCCCACAGGCTGGGTTCCAGTCAGGAGGCAGGTGACAGGAGAAAAGGCCTTGGCACCCTACCCTCAGCTCACGGTGCCAGTGAACATTGTCCTCTCACGGCCCCACTGCCTGCCGGGAAAGCTGGGCAGGCCTGTCCGCTGCAGGCCTGTCACTATCCCAAGTGAGTCTTGTGGGTGTTCATTTGTTCCAATGAAGGAACTAGCAGAGCCTGGAGAGGACAGTAGGTTTGTGCTTCTGCCTGACAAGCTGCAGACTGTGTTATCTCTGACTGTTCTGAGGTGAGAAGTCCAGATGGTCTCACTGACAAAACCAAGGTGTCAGCAGGGGCTGGCTCCTCCTCAGCTGGGGGGAGGGTGTATTCTTTGTCTTTCCTGAGGCCACCTGTGTCTCCTGGCTCCTGGCCATCCGCTGTCTTTAGAAGTAGTGATCCCATCTTTCTAGACTTTGATTCTGTTATCGCCTCTTTTTCCCTGGTCCTCCCGCCTCCCCCTTTAACTTCTTAAGACCCTTTGATGATATCAGGCCTTCCCAGAAAATCCAGGCTCGTCCCTCCTCTCAAGATCCTTAATTACACCTGAGCTGCACAGTCCGCTTTGTTTCATGAGGTCACGTGAGCACCAGCTTCCGGGGTGAGGATGTGAGCATCTTTTACTTGGCACTGGTAGATAACCAGCCCTCCATCCCAGTTACACTGGGCGATTAATCACCCACCATTTGCACCCCAACTTAATGATTTCCATTGAATGCACCCCAATTCTGGCTTCGTCTGCTGAGTGTTTTGGTAATGAGGTCTGCTTCTCAAAAATAGAATGCAGAGTAAGATGTAAGGTCCCTTAAAGCCACAGTGGGATGACAGAGCATCCTCTTTACCCTGCATATCCTGGTCTTAAAAAGTTCCAGCTTTGCAGGGCTGGAGAGATGGCTCAGAGATTAAGAGCACTGGCTGCTCTTCCAGAGGTCCTGAGTTCAATTCCCAGCAACCACATGGTGGCTCACAACCATCTGTAATGAGATCTGGTGCCCTCTTCTGGCTTGCAGGCATACATGCAGACAGAACATTGTATAAATAATAATAAATAAAAATCTTAAAAAAAAAAAAAAGTTCCAGCTTTGCATGAAAACAGCTGAGGAGATGCTGAGAACAGGGAAACCATGCCAAGACAGCCAGGTGTGAGGCCAAGTCTAGGCTTTACTCTAAACCCTTAAGCCCCCAGGGATGTGGCCCACTCACTTCCACAGTATTAGCGGGACCTTGGGGAAGTCTGAGGGATGCTGGTTTTCATTCAAATGATTAACATCATGTTTCAACACCATTCTTTTCCCATTAACTTGAAATGCATCTGTGTGTGTATGTGTGTGTGTGTGTGTGTGTGCGTGCGTGTGTGCGCGCGCTGGGGATGGGACCTAGAGCCTCATGCTTGAGTACTTATTGTATCACTAAGCTACCCGCCAATTCCAGCATAGGTTTTCAGTTAAGCGTAGCCTATTTCTGGACTTTGTATTCTACTCTCTGTGTTAATTTTATATCGTCTGAGTGACTTCATTATGTGTTAATATGGTTGAACAATTCCCCCTTCTTAGCATTCTTTTGAAAAAAGTATTCCCACAAGTTTATTGTATTCTTAAACAGGGACTTTTCTTAAGGAAGGGTCCTGGGCTTACATTGAAATTGGGAAAAGAATGCAGAGAGGTCTCATCTACTTTGTCCCCGGTGTCCTCTAGGAAGCAGCAAGTGTTAGCAGGGTACATTTATGACAGCTAAATTTGGTTTTGGAATAATTGCTGCAGAAGCATTTACCCAGGCGACGCAAACCTTTTGAATTCCGATGTGGAGTTGAAATGTATTAGGAGCCAAGCCATCGCGCCTCTCCCCTCGGCTGTGTGGTGAATGTGGACTGTGCAGACGTTCCTGGAATTCTGGGGCTCCACGTGGGCTTTGCCAGTCGGGTGGCTTTTCTAGTCATAGTGACCACATATGACATTGACTCTGCTTTAACCTTCCTGATGTGGTGTCTGGTTTTTGTTTTTTTCTCACCTCTGACCTCTGCCTCTGTGGGCTGAGTACCCGAGTCCTGTAACGCCCGAGGGCCTCATCTTGGCTCCATAGTGACAGGAATGTCAAACCCCGTGAGAGGACCCAACAGCCCCCAGTCACAAGCTCTGGCACAGTTGGAGAGTCTGTGGCCCATGGGTGCCAGGTGCGGGTTGGCAAATGGAGTGACAGAACCAGGCTGTCTTTGAGACTACGGATGAATTACATGAGTAACGTGGATTGAAACAAGGAGTGGAATCCAGAGAAGTAGGGGAATCATTTTTTAGGTTTAAAAAGGATATTAAATGCCAGCTACATGCAGGACTGGCCTCCAGACAGGACCTGATGGCCTGGCATGGTGGTTCATCGTTTAATTTTAATTTTAATGTTTGTGCATAGGTGTTTTACCTGCATACGGCGTGTGTTCCAGGTGCCCGCAAAGGCCAGAAGAGGGCGTTAGATCCCCTGGGACTAGAGTTACAGAAGGTTGTGAGCATCTGTGTGGGTGCTGGGATTGGACCGGGTCCTTTGGAAGGGCAGCTGGTACTCTTAGCTGCTGGTCCATCTCTCCAGCCCCTCGTTCAACATTATGAGTTCGCTTTTAGCACTGAAAAATTAGAGGCCACCGCCACCCCAAGCCCTCAGTTTTCAGCCTTTCTAGAAAAACCAAAGGTTTGGCAGCACTGGGTTTGTGTGTCAAGCAGGAGCCCGTAGTGGTTGCCCGCCCCGCCCCCCCCCCCCCCCCCCCACTGAGCGTCCCCACACGTGAGTTACAAGGGTCTTGTGGCTTTTTTTTTTTTTTGTACAAGAATTTAAGAGAAGGGGCTGGAGGGATGACTCAGTGGTTAAGAGTACTGGGTGCTCTTGCAGAGGTCCTGAGTTCAATCCCCAGCACCCCCACATGGTGGGTTGCAACCATCTGTAACTGTGGTTGCATGGGATGCGATACCCTCTTCTGATGTGCAAATGTACATACAGACAAAACACCCATAGACATAAAGTACATAAATACATCGTAAAAAAAGAATTTAAGAGGAAAAAGAGTTGTTTTGTTTGTTTATTTGAGGCAGGCTTGTATGTACCTGAGGCTAGCCTTAACCTCAATATTTAGCTGAGCATGGCCTTGAACTTGTGATCCTTCAGCTTCCACCTCCTGAGTTCCTGAGTGCTGGGATTACAGGCATGCCCCACCACGCCTGGGTTATGCAGTGCTGGGGCTCGAACCCCAGGGTCTCATGGGCGCTCACAAACACTCTACCAACAGAGCTACACCCCCAGCCCCCGTGAAATCCTTCCAGCAGCCATTCTGCCTCACTGTTTTTTCTTTGTTTTGTTTCCCTGGAGATGGGGTGTCACGCACCCTACACTGGCCTCCTGATCCTCCTGCCTCTGTCCCCAGGTGTTGGGATTGCAGATGCTGCATCCTGCTCGGCCACCTCACTCCTATATGACGTCTGCAATTGTCCCTGTTTGTACGTGAGGTCATGGCATGGTTGCGGCTGGACGTACCTGATTTCTAGGTCTCAGCAGGGGCTGTGCTGCTTTTGAGGGGCCTTCTTGATGTCCTCGCCTGTTGTGTAGCCACCTTCCTCACTAGACAGCTCGCTCGTGAGGCCGGCCCTGTGTCTGGTTCGTGGGTTTGTCTGTCCCTTGGGCTCTGGCTTTGTGTCTAGTGTCTAATAAGCACTCGGTAAACTCATCTATTGTTACCCTTTTGGTTGCTGTGACAAAGTAGCTGATAAAAACTTAAAAGGAAGAGTTTGTTCTGGTCCCAGTCTGAGGCTGTAGTCCATCCTGGTGGAGAAGGCACCCAGGGATGATGTGCCTGCATCAGAAGGCCGAGCATTGGATGCTGGTCCTCTGTCTGAGCCCCTGTCTCATGGGACGTGCTGTCCACATTCAGGGTGGACTGTCCTCCTTCCTCAGTTAAACTTCTCTGGACATGCCCTTAGAGACACCTCCAGAGGCTTATCTTGGGCAATTCTCAGTCTCATGAAGTTGACAAGGTAGAGCATCACAGTGAGCAAATCCGGGTGTCTCATCTCATCTGCCCCGTATCCTAGCTGTCATCCCTTGCCTCTGACATGCCGTTCTCTTCCCAGGTCTACAGAATGATCACAAGGCAGTGATGAAGCAGGTGGAGGAGGCCCTGCACCAGCTACACGCTCGGGACAAGGAGAAGCAGGCCCGGGACATGGCTGAAGCCCGAGAAGAGGCCATGAGCCGCAGTCTGGGCTCCAACAGCCCAGTCCTTCCCCAGGCCTTCGCCAAAGTGAACAGTATCAGCCCTGGTTCCCCGGCCAGTATTGCGGTAATCCTGCCTGCTCCCCTAAACCCACTCCCAGGAATGCTGTGAGTTAGGTAGCCCTGGGATGTGGATCCTTGCCAGAAGCCAAACCCATTCTCTCATTCTCTGGCTCTGAATTCCTTTATTCCTTTAGCACTTGCTAGCCAGAGCTTGGTGTACATAGGGTCAGTCCACGGGACTCAGGGAGAGACCTGTTGTGGGACACAGTGCAGAAGGTGATACGTCTCAAGAAAGGAGGCACTCTTCTCGGAACCATTTTCCCTGAACACTGAAGAAAAAAAGGATGAGAAGAGCTTGAGATGCATTCTGTCTTTCTGGATAGATTCTGAGCAGACATCTCAGCAGCGTTACTGAGACGGACTTCATGCTCACCACAGGATGCAGAGTAGTCAGAGCTGTGCGTCCAGCACTGCAGCCAGCTTCCGAATATTTCCACAGATCCTAAAAGGAAGCCCTGTGGTCCAGACAAGCCCCTCGGGACTTGGCAACCGCCGGTCTTTGTCTGCACAGATCTGCCTGTTCTGTACATTTCATGGGAAGGCAGCCACGTGATAGATGGTCTCCGTGTTCGCTTTCTTTTGCTCAGTCCTGTTTTCAGGGTTTATTCAGGGCTTAGTCATGTCTGTGGGCTTCAGATAATATCCCATTATATGGTAATGTGTTTTGTGTGTCAGTTAGGGTATGTTTGGATCACTTCTGCGTTGGGGCTATTATATGCTTCTGTGACTGTTCATGTAGAAGTTTGTGTGTGGGCTTGCGTTTACATTGAATACTGCAGCCATCCTCTAGGTTAGTACTGCTCTTCTCCCGATTTGAGCCATGAGGAAAAGCCACACAAACTTGAAGCTACCTGAGCCAGGACACATAGCTCCTGGGAAGCGGAACTGGATTCCAAATCCAGATCCTACAAGTCATCTTATGGCCATTAAACCCTCAAGACTGGGGCCTGGAGGGATGGTTCAGTGGTTACGAACACTGACTGTTCTTCCAGGGGACCCGGGTTCAATTACCAGCACCCACATGGAGGTTCACAACCATCTGTCACTCTAGCTCCAGGGGATCCAATGTCCTCTTCTGGCCTCCATGGGCACCTGGCACACAAGTGGCACACAGACTTACAAGCAGGCAAAACACCCATACTCATTAAATAATAATAATAATAATAATAATAATAATAATAATAATAATAAATAGAACTTAAAAAGTCACAAGACTACTGGGTATGGTGGCATGTCTTCATAATCCCAGCTACTCAGGCAGCTGAGGCAGGACCGCCACAAGTTTGGGCAACTTAGCAGAATCTTATTTGAAATTCAAAGTGAAGAAAGACCGAGGATGTAGCTCTTGGGTAGAGCTCTTGCCAAGGTTGGATTCCTAGTGCTGTAAACAATTTAAAAAGCAAAATTAGTCACAAGACTGCAGACTGTAGTCAGCTCTAGTCTGGTCAGAGCTGGGTCTGCAGCATCGAGCACCTAATGCAGCCAGCCTGTGGCGGGTGTTTGTGAAAGGATGAGTAACTGGATGTCTGTCATCTTGGGATCTGAAGTAAAAGGGCCATGCTGGTTCTGGCCGGCCTCGTGCTGGCGACCGCTGTTGAGGGATTTCTAGGACAGTGCTGTCTTGTCCAGAAAAGTAGGCCTGCATTTGCCCGCTTCTTCTTGCCCTGGAACCCTGCTCAGAAACTCCAGAAGGCAGCTTTTTTCTCTGTCCTCAAAGCTTCTGTTGGGCACACCTGGACACCATTTGCTAGGTCTGCCCTAGAGGGAACCTCCAGGATGAGGTGGTCCACCGACCTTTTTGCTCTGAGTTGGCCATTCTTCCCTTGTAGAAAATGAGCTTTTGACCTTGCCACTGAGTTGTATATTGAGCAGTAAAAATGACCAGAAACGCATTCCACCTCTTCGACGGTTTCTAATTTTCTCCTGTCTTTAGGGCCTGCAAGTGGATGATGAAATTGTGGAGTTCGGCTCTGTGAACACCCAAAACTTCCAGTCGCTGCAGAACGTGGGCAGCGTGGTGCAGCATAGCGAGGGGGTGAGTGAGGGTGCCCTGGCATCTGGGTGCCTCACAAACCACAGAGGCATGTGGCTCACAGTTAGGGGGGTGGGATGGAAATCCAAGAGGAGGGACCCGCAGACTGAGGGCTTCTGGTGGGGATGTTTCCTAGTCTGTAGACGGCACAGCTTGCTTAGGTGATGGACCACTAATTCCATCACCGGGGCTCCACCCTCTAAGTGACACCCCTCTAAAGCCCAGTTTCCTACACCATCACACTGGGGGTTAGGCTTCCGGCATAAGAACTTTCTGGAAGGAAGCAAACATTCAGCCCATAGCACTGGGCATCTGTCTGGGATATTTTGGTCCAGAAGATGTTGGTGGGTTCTTTGCTGCTGACAGTGTAGTTTTTTTTGAGACAGGGTTTCTCTGTGTAGCTTTGTGCCTTTCCTGGAACTCACTCTGTAGTCCAGGCTGGCCTCGAACTCACAGAGATCTGCCTGACTCTGCCTCCTGAGTGCTGGGATTAAAGGCCTGCGCCACCACCGCCCGGCCGCTCTTGTCTTTTGTTGTCTCTTTCCCACCCTGTCTGTCTTTGTGACTGTACATAGTCTTGCTAGCCTGCTTTTCTGTCATTCCAGTGAGGTCTGTGACAGTAGGAAACACAGCTTCACTCACCTCCAGTTCTCAAGTTTTTCTCCTAGCTTTTTTATTATTATTATTATTATTATTATTATTATTATTATTATTATTTTGGTTTTGATTTTGTTTTTTCAAGACAGAGTTTCTCTGTGTCACGCTGGTTGTACTGGATCTCACTCTGTAGACCAGGCTGGCCTCGAACTCAGAGATCCGCCTGCTTCTGCCTCCCGAGTGCTGGGATTAAAGGCATTTACCACCGACACCCATGCCCGGCTACAGATGTGCTTGTAAACATGTCTTGTTAGATTCTGGAAGAGGATGTGTATATGTATGGAAAACAGAACCAAAGCACAAAACAAGGCCAAAGTCTCCAAGTTAACTTCCTGGCCATTTTCTAGCTTGGGACCTTCCAGGAAACCTGTTGCATCTCCTAGCAGAGAGTGCTGTTGGCTGTCTCTAGAGTGTAGTTTCCTAGAGCAAGACCAACACATTCAGCGTTGATCGCTCTATATAGTCACATCACTACCACCACAGTAAACACACAGAGCCGTGGACTCCAAGTGACTCAGTTTCCTTGGTAACTAGTCCTTCACTCCATCACTGATCAGCACTCTGTCAAAAGTTTATATTTTCCAGAATGTTACAGAAGTATAACCATAGTGCGGCTCCCCCCAACCCCCACAAGGTCTCACTACATATCCCTTGTTGGCCTCAAACTTGCCATGTAGTCAGTCAGCCTGCCCTTGAACTCACAGAAATCCTCCTGCCTCTGTCTCCCAAGTGCTGGGATTAAAGGTGTGCACCACCACACCCACCATTATACCCGGCCTCAGGACTGCCTTTTGAGCGTGGCTCCGTGCACTGTCCAGAACAGGTTGGTAGATCTTGGGTGGCGTGTGCGTTCATGTGTGTTACATACTTTATCCGCTTAGGAGTGAGGGACACTTAGGGTGGTCCCGAGTTTGGGTGATGATTGACAGATTGGTTTTAATCTGCATTTTTCTAGATAAATGTCTCAGCTTCTTTTTTTAAGATTTACTTATTATTTTATATGTGTTTTGCCTACATTTATATATGCATACCATAGGCATGCCTGGTACCCACCGAGGTCAGAAGAGGGCATCAGATCTCCTGGTCTCGAAAATTATTAAGGTCCAGCTTTAATAATCTTCTTCCCAGGAGGCCAGAAGTGAAACTCCGAACAGCACAAATTATTTTTGGGAAAAGAGTCTAAGCACCCCGAGATTTTAGTCTGTCTGCTTTATTCCTCAGGGATGAAATCCTTTCTACACAGCTTCAGTTCTGCTCTCATGCCTAGCTCCTTTCTTGCCTGATTTCTCTCTACATTTATCTGCTGCCCCTCTAAGTTCTATCTTGATTCTCTTGTCTTAGTTCTTAGTTCTGCCCCATCTTGGTGTTTGTTACTTGTCTTGGTCTTTGTCATCTTGTTCTTCCCTGTCTGGCTCTTCCTCATCTTCCATCTCATTCTTCTAGTTCTCCATCTAGTTCTCCAGTCAAAACCTCCTCAGCCTCTGAGGTTTACAGTTATATACCCATGTAATAGCAGTGCTCTAGCCAAAGCAAGGTCACCAGGCTTGAATTCCTACAGGGTCATAAAGGCAGACAAGAGTTTTCCTCCGGCAGTGACCATCAGGCTTTCTTTTACAACCCAAAAGGGGGGTGGTAAAGGAGGAGGAGGTCAGCTGAGAGCTAAAATCGGTTAATATATCAGAAAAAGGGAATTTACGTGCTCACACTACATTTCTAGAGGTGGTTACGGAAATGTTAGGAGTCTATAATGTTAGTATAAATAGCACTAAGGCTGTATAAGAAAGGAGGGTCCGAGCTTAATTTGTCTTAATTCAGGAGATTGTTTGGCCTTGGATGCTTGATAGGTATTTCAGATAAATATAATATACAAGAAAATCATTGCAGGAATCAGCTAATATATAATACTATAATATTATAATGTATTATATATTACATATAATAATATATAATATTAATATAATAGCTAATACAAAAGCTAAAATATCACCAACACTTCTTAAACCATGGCTTGAGCTTCGGAAAAGTCCTTGACCTTTCCAAGTAGTATCCTTTGTGGTAGTAGCTGGATTCCATCATATTTTCCTGTGGCTTGCAGCACCCTGGGACTGGAGTTACAAGACAGTTGTGAGCCATCATGTGGGCGCTAAGACTCGAACCCAGGTCCTCTGCAAGAGCAGCCAGTGCTCTTAACTGCTGAGCCAACCATTCTTCCAGCCCCAGGTCTCAGCTTCACTGTTAGGACTATAAATCCTCCTGGAAGCTTTCTTTCAAAAGAATGTTTTGGAGAATCCCAACATGTCAAATGTATAAAAGCCAAGCTGCAGGGATAGTTTGAAGGTCACATGCTTGGTGCCAGCTCCAACCCTCAGAGCCCTGAACCAGTCAGTCTCAGTTCTCTTTGGCTGTGCTGTTAACGTTTTCGTAGTTTCCAGTTTTATGAAGATTACACTCTTTTTTTTTTTTTAAAGATTTATTATGTATGCAGTGTTCTTTCTGCAGGCCAGAAGAGGGCACCAGTTCTCATTCCAGATGGTTGTGAGCCACCATGTGGTTGCTGGGAATTGAACTCAGGACCTTTGGAAGAACAGCCAGTGCTCTTAGCCTCTGAGCCATCTCTCCAGCCCAAGATTACACTCTTGTAGCTCAGACTGTTTCATCAGATCTCCTTCCAGAAGTTCAGTGTTTAGATCAAAAGCATATATTTTCAAAGGAAACGAAACCTTGATTGAAAAAACTTACTGTCTTGGACTAGGGGTGTGTGGCTCAGTGGTAGATCACTTTTCAGACTCCAGGTCCTGGATTTGATCTTCAACACTGTTTTTGGTTTGGTTTGGTTTTTTTGAGGGGGTGTTGTTGTTTTGAGACAAGGTTTCCCTGTGTAGCCCTGACTGTCCTGGAGCTCACTATGTAGACCAGGCTGGCCTCAAATTCATAGAGATCTGCCTGTCTCTGCCTTATGAGTGCTGATATTAAAGGCGTGCGCCACCACCGCCACAACTGTTTGTTTTTTAAGTATAAATATATATACAGGCATCATTTTATTATAAAAACAATGCATGTTTAGTTCAGCCATAGGAATGTTGTAAGTTCTTTGTTACAACATAGATATTGAAAACACGGTTCAAAGTGAAAGAGACCTAGCACAAGGCCACATGATTCCACTCAGTGACACTGTCTAAAAAGCAGTCAGTGAAACACAGAGACAGGGAAGAGTTGGCGGTTGCCGGCCGGGGCTGGAGGGACGAGGATGGGGACTGACTGCTGACGGTCTTGTGGGTGATTCAGACATTCTGCAGTTAGTGGTGCTGGCTCATAACTCTCTGAGTACAGGAAACCCACTGAGCCATGTACTTTATTATATGCAAACTGTGTCTCAGTGATAACTAGAATGCCTGTTTATCTTAGGAACAAAATCCCACAGTGCAGAAATGTTTAAAAATCAAAGCCCTGTGTCTCTTCCTCCCTCAGTCCCTCCCCTGTGTGTGCTCACTTCTGGACTGGGGGCTGGGGTCCAGACACAATGAGAGCTCATTGCGGGGCCGACATTTCATTCAATAATCCTAGGCATGCAATTTCACACCCTGACAAGTGTTACAAAAGGAAGCACAGGAGGCCTGGAGGAAAGCAGTGGGGTCCTGATTTCGTTCGGGGTTGAAGGAGAAGTCTCCTCAGGACTGAGCCTTGGTGTGCATAGAAGTTGATCAAGTGGCGTGGTCACCAGAGGAGAGCCTTCAGGCTGGTTCGAAGGCCGTTGGGGTGGGAGAAGCAAGGCCGCCAGAGGAGGATGGGTGGAGCTCAGAACCAGGAGACTAGAGAAGGGCAGGAGGTGGAGCTGGGAGGTCGTGGAACAGGGAGGTGACCAGGTGTCAGGCCACTCAAGGTCAGCCTTGGAGTGCCTCATAATGATAATCGCCACCTTCTCCTGCGGAGCAGACGGAGCTGCTGTGCCTCCCAAGCTGGGCAGGGTTTGTCTTAGAGATGTCACGGGTGCTAGTTAGCAGATTTGGGGGTCAGTTTCCAGCATCTGGGGTGGTGTCCGAATAGGGTCCTAAATAGTGACCAGGTGGTTAAATACATGAACCTGTGGGGGACAGTCTTACTCAGATCGCTGTCCTTCCTACCGCTGAATTTTGTCTCCCACCACCTTGAAGTTGTACACAACTCCTTCCTTAATACCCGCTTCGGGAGCCTGTCCAGCGAGGAGCCCAGCACCCTATAATTTCACGGTCAGGAAGTGGCTTATCAGCGTTCTGAGAGTTGAGTCCATTTTGAGTGTTAAGGAAGCTGAGGCCAGAGTGACCTTCTTTGCCTTTCAGAAGCCCCTGAATGTGACGGTGATCCGCAGAGGAGAGAAACAGCAGCTCAGACTGACTCCGATGCGCTGGGCAGGAAAAGGACTGCTGGGGTAATGCCTCTGCTTTATTCTGGGCCCGCACAGTGCCCAGGGAGTGTTCTTAGATGAGGCTGCAGGCAAGAGGCAGCGAGTCCTCAGGTCGTCTGAGTCTCTGCTGCGTTCCTTACCTGAGCATCGCCTTAAAGAGAAGGAAAAAGGCTGGTGAAATGGCTCAGCAGGGAAGGGGGGGGGCTTTCTGCCAAACCTGTGACCTGAGTTTGGTCCCCAGGATCCACATGGTAGACGGAGAGAACTGATTCCTACAAGTTGTTCATGGCACACACACTCACAAACTCTCTTCTGTACACAATGAATAAATTGAAAAATGCAGTTGGGAGCTGGAGAGATGGCTCAGCAGTTAAGAGCAGTGGCTGCTCTTCCAGAGGACCCAGCTTCAATTCCCAGCACCCACATGGCAGCTCACAGCTGTCTGTAACTCCAGTTCCAGGGGACCTGACACTCTCACACAGACATACATGCAGGCAAAAACACCAGTGCACATAAAATAAATAAATGATAAAAAAGAAGACAAATACAATTTTTAAAAAAGAAAAGTATTGACGCAAAGCCCCGCTTCACGGCCGGTTTCCCAGGATGGAGCCGTCAGGCTTGAACCCTGTCTCTGTTTCCTTTCACAGCTGCAACATTATTCCTCTCCAGAGATGACTGTCCCCAGGGACCTGCAAGAAAGCTGCCTTCAGCCGGGCCCTGCCCTTGGGCCTGGTAGGGATTTCCTCCTTCTCTTCGGTCTCTGAGGTGTAAGGATCTGGAAGAGAGCGGGCGAAGCCTGAACATCGAGGTGGAGGAAATGCTCTGGCCGCCTGGTTACTCTCTGCATTGAGGCATTATTAAAAACGTGATTTGTGCCTAGCTAAGTTTTGTGCAAATTAGGCCGTAGCCCTATCTGGGAATTCTCTACATTGAGTTGGAATGATTCTAGCAGGTAATGATCTGACTTCATGTTCTTTTTTTTTTTTTTTTTTTTTTTTTTGAGACAGTTTCCCTCTGTAGCTCTGGCTCTCCTGTGTAGCCCAGTCTGGCCTTGAGCTGACAGAGATCCTCCTGCCTCTGCATCCTGAGTGTTGGGATTAGAGGCGTGCACCACCATGCCTGGCTAGACCCTGAGGGATATTTATTATACATATATGATTTTTACTGAAGGTTTTGAGACCTTCATACATGCATACAGTATATTTCTCTCCTCCTTTGTCCCTTCAGTTCCTCCCAGATCTCCCCTCATATCAACTTCCCAGCCTCATGTCCCTTTTTAAAAATAAATAACGTACTGAGTGTAATTCATGATGCCCATATACTTACGGATGTGGGGTCTTCCACTGGATGAGTGTGGTCCACCTACCAGGGTCCTCACCTCGAATAGTCACAGGGACTTGAATGCCCCAGGGTCTCCCGTAGCCCAGCCTCAGATTTGCCATGGAGCGGAGGATGATCTTGAACGTGGGGTCCTTCAGCCTCCAACTTCCAAATGCAATATCACCTGCCTAGGCATTTCCTCTTGTAGGGGGTGGGGTTTGGAGACAGGGTCTCTTTGTGAGTTCAGACTGGCCTTAAACTTGGGATCTTCCTGCCTCAGTCTCCTAAGGGCTGGCATTATGGTGTATGCCACCAAACCTGGCTCTTCGTATGGATTTTCTCTTTTCAAAAAAACCTGGTTTTGTAGTGGTAATTGTGACCATTGTACCATCCCACCTGAATTTCCTGCCATCTTCAAACCAAGCTCAGAAGGAGCTGGAAAGAAAGTTGGGGGGCTGGAGAGATGGCTCAGCGGTTAAGAGCACTGAGTGCGCTTCCAGAGGACCTGGGTTCAGTTCCCAGCAACCACATGATGGCTCACAACCATCTGTAATGAGATCTGGTGCCCTCTTCTAGCCTGCAGGCAGAACACTATATACATAATAAATAAATCTTTAAAAAAAAATTAAAAGAAAGTTGGGCAAAGCAAACCGGTTCCTGGGCTGAAGTCAAGTTGATTCTCGTGCTGGAAACTGAAGCCTGGAGCTTATACTCTGGGCAAGTGTTCACCGTGGGAACTCTGATGTCAGCAGCTGTCAGCAGCTGGCCAGTCTCTGCTTGAAGCAGTACTGCCCTGGGTAGAGAAAGCACTAGAGTTCCGTGCATCCTCCGAAGTTGGCTCTGTGTATCCACCATAGTTCCATGAAGAGATTAGCAAAGGTCAGGAGGCCTCACCAGTTAACCTGCTGGAGAATAGGCTCCCTGTAATAAAAGACCTTGCAGATAGCTCCTGATTGGGCTTTTATAATTGAGTCTTGACCATACCCTGGGATAGGCAGCTTGGGAAGTTAGGAATGCTAGAGGTTTGCCAAGGTGAACATATTTACGGACGCCGCTTCCTTTTATTTTCTGTCTTTTGAGATGGTAAAATTGGTGTGGGTGATTCTTAGTGACTCTGTTTTTCTTCCTTTCTCCATGTGCCCCAGTTACTCCCCCAGTTGGTACCAGTTTCTGTTTTGGATGTCTGGCACACTCCGAGAGGAAGCTCGTGCTCTTGGATTGGATTGCTCAGGATGGAGGCAGACAGCTTTCTCTGAGGGCAGTCAGTATTGGTGTGTGCCTCCTGCCTTGAGTTCTGACACTCAATTTGAAAGCCTCCCCAAACTGCTCCAGCCAGCCAGCCTCATGTATTCCTATCCTGCAGCCAGACTGTGCTGTGTTTACCAGTGTTTAATGTTTGAATTGTAGGCTACAATTCCAAGTAGTTTCCAGCCCCGTGATAAGTCCCACACTATAATAAACACAGCTTGTGCCATTCAGTTCCCTCCTCTTTGAGATCTGCATATGATCACCAGGCTGGGGCATGGTGGTGCACTTGCTGGGAGAGTCGTTCACATTCTGAAGTGGCGGCAGCAGGGTGCTCTGAACCAGGCCCATTGGCCAGTTTCCTGCAGGACAGCCACCTTTGGGCTCTTCGGGGAGTCACATTGGCATGAATGACCCTGAAGGATTTAACCAAGGTGGGTTTGCAGAAACTGATAACCAAGATCATGCACTCCACATAACTCCAGTCCCAGTTAGCTAAACTCTGCATACTGTGCCCTGGTGGAAGGTGGGCATGCATGCGTGCGTGCGTGCGTGCGTGCATGCGTGGGTGTGGGTGTGGGTGTGTACATCTACAGGAAATTGGGTTTAGTGCTGAGAGAATTTTTTTTTTAATTTTATTTTATGTACATTGGTGTTTTGCCATGGGTGTTGGATCCCCTGGAACTGGAATTACAGACAGTTGTAAGTTGACCTGTGGGTGCTGGGAATTGAACCCGGGTCCTCTGGAAGAGCAGTCAGTGCTCTTAACCACTGAGTCATCTCTCCAGCCCCCAGAGCTCTTGTTGCATGGCTTCCTGAAGCGGCATGAACATGAAGGAGCAGTCCACTCAGATGAACCTGGTGAACCAGTGAGCCTTCTGGGGTCACTTAAAGGAGCTTCCGGCTACAGCAGGCAGTGAGGGCCCCACTGCGCTGTGGATGTACAGCTTGCAGGCATCTCCACTCACGACTCTCCTTTACCCCAGTCAAGTCTCATGTAGCCCAGGCTGACTTTGAACTGATCCTTCTGTCTTCATCTCCCTAGTTCCGGGTTCGAAGGTGTGTTACATCACACCTGGCCAGGAGGCTGCGCCATCTTTTTTTAATTAATTAATTAATTAATTTCTTTTGACTGCTTTTATGACCTAGGGAAGAACTTCCTGACATTTTAGGGTTGTCGTTTTGTTTGATTTTCTGAGTTTCCCCAGCATGCCCCCCCCAGTCTCCCCCTCCCCTTCCCGTTTCCTCTACCAGCTAAAATGCCCCAATTTGGAGAAAACAACTGCAAACACTACTTCGTTTCATTTGGGTCTAACTTTGGAAAAGTCAGAACCGCCAGGGTTGGGGGACGCTCTTTCTCCAAGGGTCGCTCAGGAAAGAGTAAGAGGGTGAGCCGTTCCGCCGGCAAGGGGCGCAGGCTGGTCCAGCGGGGCCTGTGACCACCATCCTGCTCCCTCCCTTTCCGGCCTGGCGCTCGTAGCTGTTGCCATAGAGACGGAGCTTGGTTGGCAACCGTCACTAGGGAGCGCGGACAGAAGACGCCCGGCGGCTGGGGAGTCCCGGAGGCAGGACGACCCAAGGCTTTGGAGGAAGGAAGAGGGCGCGCCCCTGTGAGTGCAAAGTGGAGGGTATGGCCCAGGCGGGGGTCCCGCCCGGCAGGGCGAGGTTGTGGGACGTGGAGCACCCCAGAAAGAGCAAGTGGCGGCGCCTGGACCTAGGGGCTGCCCCTGCCCCTGCGTTGCCTGGGCATAGAAGTTGTCCCGGCTAAGCGCTGGCAAAGTAGACATCGGAGATCATAGCAGCGCTTTTTCAAACAGAAGTAAATTCCAACTCTAAGTCACGCCTCTCAGAGCCACAAACTTTTTTTTTTTTTTAAAAGAAAGATTGGGCTGGTCTAGAACTCACAATGATCCTCCTGCCTCAACCTCCTGAATGTAGAGCTACAGGTACAGGTATGAGCCCTCCTAAATTCTTGTTTGTTGTAGGGGAAAATGAGAGAATGTATCAGAGGAATTAATTTAAATTTGTTGTTGTTGTTGTTTTCGTGACAGGGTTTCTCTGTGTAGCTTTGGTGCCTGTCCTGGAACTCACTCTGTGGACCAGGCTGGCCTCGAACTCACTTAGATCCGCCTGCCTCTGCCTCCCGAGTGACCGCCCGGCATTAATTAAAATTTTTTAAAAATTATTTTTATGTGTCTGTGTGTCTGTGTGGTCTGCATGCATGTCTGCACACCACATGTGAAGCGCCTGTGGAGTCCAGAAGAGGGCAACAGATTCCCCTGGAACTCCAGTTACAGATGTGTTGGAACTAGGAATCAAACCTGGGTCCTCTGGAAGAGCAGTCGGTGCTTTTAACCACTGACCCATCTCTCCAGCCCAGAACTAAATTTTTAATTTTATTTATTTGCTTGTTTATTTATTTGTTTGTTTATTGGGGGACACATACTATGTTGTATGTGTTGAGATCACATGACAACCTTTGGAAGTTGGTTTCCTCCTTCTACCATGTGAGTCCTGGGGGTCTACCTCAGGTTGTAAGACTTGGTGTCTCATCTACCCCCCCCCCAGAGCACTTTCTAAACTTTCAAGTTCTTTGCAAAAGCAGAGCTGCTTTTATCTCCATAATACCTCCCGCCACCCCCTTCTGCAAGCTCCGGGCTGTATCTGTACTGAACACTTGACATGTGCTACCCCAGTCTTTAAATCATGCTAGAATTTAGGCTTCTCAATTTTAGTTTTGCCTGTGAGCAAATTTGACCTCGGAAGGAAAATGTGACTTGCTCCTGGTCACAGAACAAGGCTGGTTGGTGGACGTGGGAGTGGAGGGAACCTTTGACTGTAAAGCCCACACTTCAATCACCAGCCCAGCCCGTCACTGACGTCTTTGCTAATGTCTGCCTTATGCATTGCGCTGCCTGTGGGAATATGAATTATTTACAGAGTTAGAAGGCGCTAAGATCATTCCTAGAAAGATGGGAGGCCTGGAAGTCGATATTCTAAAGATTTTTAAGATTTGAGCTAGGCTTTCCCAAGAAGATGGCATCCCTTTCACTCCCACAGGAAGGAGCCGGAGCCGCTTCTGTGCATTTCGAGATGTTAACACATCAGGCAGCTGAAGCAGGAGGCAAGAAGGGTCTGCTGAGTCTGTGTCAAATTTTTTTTTCCTAGAGGAAACTACAGGATGTCAGATACAGAAGAAAATCCCCCAGAGGAAACAGGAGAACGTGTAGACACCGAACAAGAAGAGGAATATAATCCAAGTTCTGAAGAAGAAAATCTGCAGCAGAGTCTAACGGAAGATACAGTGTCATGGGAGGGGCCTCAGGAGGAGGAGGGGCAAATAGAAGAAGGAAAGAGAGGGGCGGAAGAGGAAGTGAGAGGGGAGGAAGAGGAAGTGAGAGGGGAGGAAGAGGAAGTGAGAGAGGAGGAAGAGGAAGTGAGAGGGGAGGAAGAGGAAGTGAGAGGAGAGGAAGAGGAAGTGAGAGGGGAGGAAGAGGAAGTGAGAGGAGAGGAAGAGAGAGGTGGGGAAGAGGAAAAGAGAGCGGAAGAGGAAGAGAGAGGTGAGGAAGAGGAAAAGAGAGGAGAGGAAGAGGAAGAGAGATGGGAGGAAGAGGAGAGAGGTGAAGAAGAAAAAGGTGAGGAAGAGGACAAGGAGAAAGAAGAGGAGGAGCATGAGGGGGAGAGGCAGGAGAGGAAGCAAGAGGAGGAGAAAGAGAAAAAGGGAGGTCCTGGCATAAAACAAGTGGCAAAGAAGTCCAAAAAGCCGCTCAGCTTGGATGACATTATCATCAGCTCTGAGTCCTCCACATCCGCGTCTTCACTGGTGAGTCCAAACTGACTGGTCCACCCGCCCGTTCAGTCGTGTTAGCGGCAGGCTGGAGGTATGGCAGTCGGGCTATGGGGTGCAAAACCCAAGGGAGACACGATCCTGAGGCTGGAGAGATGATGGCTCGGCCAGTTAAGAGCCCTTGCTGTTTTTGCTCAAGGCTTGAGTTGGGTTCCCAGCATCCATGATAAAGTGTCCTATAACTCCAGCTCCAGCGAATCCGATGCCCTCTTCTGGGCTCCTTGAGTCCCTGTATAAAACACACACACACACACACACACACACACACACACACACACACACACACACACTAAAAAGAGAAGAAAACCATATGCTCTGTACAGTAATGATGAGATGCCAAGGAAGTTGTTTAATCCAGTTTGGAGGCTGGTCAATGCAAGCTTCCATGAAGTGTGTACCTGCCTGGGAAAGGGCCAATGGATTAGCTGAAGATGAGACACACTTGTCTTGGGACCAAGTTCCTGTGACACAATAGTGGTATGGATTTCCCACAGCCTGTTCCCCAAGAAAGAACTCAGTGCTGGTCCAAAGGTGGACCCCCCAGTGGTGCTTAGAAGGGCCTGCTGTGTGGTCTTGCTGTGTGATCTTGCTGAAAGGCCAAGAATTAACCTGAACACAGCCATGATTCGTTTCGTTAATACAAAATGTCCCTGGCACAGGACTAGAGAGCTGCTCTTTCAGAGGTCCTGAGTTCAATTCCCAGCAACCACATGGTGGCTCACAACCATCTGTAATGAGATCTGGTGCCCTCTTAGGGCATCCATGCAGACAGAATACTGTATATATAATAAATAAACAGATAGATAGATAGATAGATAGACAGATAGATAGATAGATAGATAGACCTAAAAAATTGTCCCAGGCTTCCTTTTGAACCACCTGTTATGACACTGGCTGACTGGGAATGGAACAAGATCACCATGGGAAAACGGGAAAATGTAGCCTGGGTACTACATGCAGTGTCAGAATCTTTGGTTTCTTTCTTTCTTTTTCTTTTTTCTTTTTGTCGGAGCTGAGGACCCGAACCCAGAACCCAGGGCCTTGCACTTGCTAGGCAAGCGCTCTACCACTGAGCTAAATCCCCAACCCCTCTTTGGTTTCTATTTAAAGACTGAAACCTCAGAGAGTAACGAGTCGACCACACACTCCCAAAGTCCCGAAGTAAGCGAGATCTTCAGAGAGGTCGGTCCGAAGGTTGAAATTACTGAGGCACCTGCCGTCAGGCCTGAGGAGACCGAGATGGAGTCTCTCAGGTGGAAGTTACTGCAAGAAGTTAAAGAGGAGGCTAACAAGGAGGCAGAAGTTTCAGCCCCAGGTCAGAGAGACAGAGAGTCAAGAACCTCTGGAAAGCTGTCCTACTTCCTCTCGGAAGAAGGACAGATATCATCCCAGTTCAAAGGGAGTTCCAAGGCGTCCATGGTGTCCACCTCCACAGAAGACACCTTGTTCCAGAAGGAAGAGGTCTCCAAGGTGTATCCTTTGGTAAGTGTCCCCCACAGTGTGCCATTCCTGGGTTTGCATAGTTCTGTGAGAGAGGATATGTGCATGTCTGGGAAGTCCCAGTGTGAGTGTGCCTGTGTGTGTATGTGTGTTATGTGTGTGCACCCACATACATATGGAGGCCAGAGGATAACCTTGGATGTCTTCTTCAGCCTCTGTTCACTGTTATTATTATTACTTTTGTTTTGTTTTTGAAACAGGGTTTCTCTGTGTAGCCCTGGCTGTTCTGGAATTTACTCTATAGGCCAGGCTGGCCTCGAACTCAGAGACTGGCCTGCCTCTGTCTCATGAGTGCTGGAATTAAAGGCGTGCGCTACCACCACTGGTGGGCTTTTTTTTTTTCCATAAGGTTTCCCATTGGCTTGGAATTTGTATTGTAAAGCAGCCTGGGCTGCCTGGCCAGTGACATCCACCCCCAAACCCCCTAAGAGACTCTCTGTCTCTGCCCTCCCCAGCACTGGGGTTACCAGCAACTCACTTCTGTCATGCCGAGCCGGTTTTTGTTATTTGGAGGGCTTCTGAGGAGTAAACTCAGTCCTTTCGGTTGGCAACTCTCCGACCCAGAAAAAAAACAAAAACAAAAAAAAACCCAAAAACCTTTTTAATACTTTTCAGACAAGCTATGTCTTTTTAAAGTTCTGTCAAGAGTTGGGGGGTTGGGGAGACACCCATGTGTTAGACCTGGAACTGGAAGGCGACATCTGGCTTCAATAGCACTGCTCAGCAGGCCGGAAATTCCCGGCATAGTTTGACTGTTGCCTTGGCGACTTGGAGAGGGAGACGCCATCGTCTTTCCCTCTCTTCCTTTCCCACCCGGTTTCTCTCCTTCCTCCCTCTGCTCTCTCTCTCTCTCATCTCCCTCTCTTTACCCTCTTCCTTCTCTGACGCTACCACGGTTCCTCCTCCGTTGTCTACTTTTCTGCCTCCGCTAGGGGGAGAGCTTTGAGAGGTCCCCAGACCCTCATCAGAAAGTGACACATCTCTGGCCTTCCCTAGGAATCTGTCCTCGCCGCTGTGGCTGACATGCGTCCCAGGGAGGCGCCATCTGCGAGGCACAAAAATATTGTCCTTTGCCCAGCGCAGGAGAAGGAGGGGGTCCCTCCCCCACTGCTTTCCCCATCTGCCGCTTTGTGGAAATCGTTTGCTAGGATTCATTCTTGCTTTTTGCCCCCCCCCCTTATCCTGCCCCCTTTCTTTCCCTGAGGATCCATGCCTGCAGAAGATTGACTCTATCTATGTAAAGAATTTAGTCCCGACACAGAGTGAGCCTTTTCCACACAGCTCACGTTAGATTTTGGTTTTTCTGTTCTGCCTTGAGACAAGGTTTTGCTATGTAGCCCAGGCTAGCCTTGAACTTACAACTCTCTTACCTCAGCCCCAAGTTCTAGGATTATAGACATGTACAACCTTGCCAATAGCCACTGGTTTCCTACACCACTCTCTACCTTATTTATTTTTATTTAAGAAAGAATTTATATTAAAAAAAAAAGAAGGAAAGAATTTATAGTGCATTTATTTGCGAGGGGGCATGTACAGCCTCCAATGCACACGGGAAAGCCAGAGAGCATCTTGCAGAGGTCAGTTTTAAAACCTCAAAGCCCACCCTCAGTGACACACCTCCTCCAGTGAGGCCATGCCTAATAATCCTTCCTAAACAGTCTGTCAACTGGCAACTAAGTTAAAAAATATATGAACTTATGGGGACCATTTTTTTTTTCTGTTGTTTTGTTTTTGTGTTTTTCGAGACAGAGTTTCTCTGTGTTGCTTTGGATCCTGTCCTGGATCTCACTCTGTAAACCAGGCTGGCCTCGAACTCGCAGAGATCCTCCTGCCTCTACCTCCCTGAGTGCTGGGACTAAAAGTGTATGTCACTGTGACCAGCCCCAATGAGCCCTCTTTATAGCCCCTTGTTTTGTTTACTTGTATATCCCAGGCTAGTTTTAAATGCACTGTGTCGCCAAGGCTAATCCACCTCTGAAGTGCTGGCATTATAGGCATGCACCACCACACCCAGCTGAAGCCTTTCCTTTCTCATGACTAATTTTAAAACGACAAAATGAAACTTCAGGATGAACATGATGATCCTTTTAGGATTAGCAAGTCTCCAAAAGAACAGTTTGATTTGCATACATAAGCTTTTTTAGAACCAAGGCAAATATTAAGTAATTCTGTTCCTAGAAGGTGCAACTTGAGACGATTATAATTCCACAATTCTACCACTCACGCCCACGCAATCCGAGATCTAAACAGAAACACAAGTTCCAGGGAGCAGGCAGACGGGAACAAGAAATGTGGGGAGCGAACGCTGTGTGGGAGAAAAGTCACCGCACGTTACAGGCCGTGTCTGTCTTGGGAAGAAATACCCAGTCCCACGGTTCAACTTCCTTAGTTTTGTTCCAAGAGGAGAAAGGCAGCTGTTGCCATGTGCCAGGATGATTCATTGATCTTCAGCTCTTTGTTATTCAACCACCCACTTTTAATCGATTAGGTTTTGTGTGGAGGAGAGCACAGCGTCAGGCTCAGGGGAAATTTGAGTGGACAGTAAGTACATAGAGTTTCCATGTATCCCTTGGTGCCTGTTATGCCCACGTCATGAGCCCCCAAGAGACCACCAGGAGTCCGAGTTCACATGCAAAAGCAAAGAGCCTTTATTGCAAGCTCGAGCTTGGGCTCTCTATCCCGTTCAACAGCGGTTGGATCAGGGAGTGCTTCAAGCTCAGTTGAGGCAGGGTTTTTAAGGAGTAAAGGGTGAGGGGGGCGTAGGTAGGGGAATTCTGGATTCAGGTGGGGGTTGGACTCCTGATTGGGCAGGAGTGAGGCACAGAAAGTCTTGTCAAACAGGGATTGGCAACAAGTGATGTAAGCTGTCCTTAATGTTTTGGAGCAGCTCGTACTTGCTTGTCTCAGTTCTGATTGGTCCCCTGCAGGGTGCAGTTCGTGGCTTTTCCTGGTTATTGTAATGGTGAGGCCCAGTCCCAGCATTGTTAATCTGCTGCCTGTCATGGCTGCACTAATGTGAAGGTAGGCCTCTTCAGTGCCACCTCCTCCAGATTCCCCTTTCGTTGCCAGCTCACGTCGGCGTGGCACATTTGCCAGCACCGATATGCCAATGTTAACGTTCCTGTTAGCAGATGGCATTAGCAGCCAGGCATGCCATACATTCCGTGGGCTTTGACGGGTGTGTGACTCCGCATGTCCACCATTTCAGCCTCACTCCCTGCACACCTCCTGTCCACTCCTCCTCCAGAACCCTGGCAACCACTGATCATTTTCAGTGTTGTTTGGCCCTTTCCAGAATGCCTTGGTTTCTCATTTCATAAAATTCTTCTTTTGGCATTGCTCCCAGAAGGGTAGATTTACTTATCTAGTGTCATTATGTGGTGCTGGTATTGAACTCAGGGCCTTGCCCGTGCTAAGCAAGAATTCTACCACTGAGCTATGGAAAGCAGCAGCAGCAGCAACAACAAAAACACAAAACAAGGCAGAAGAACCACTTATTCAGGCTGAATGCTTCCCTTTCTTTTTTCTTTTTGATTTTTCTTTTTTTTTCTTTTTTTTAAAATTTTTTTATATTTATTATGCATACAGTGTTCTGCCTGCATACATCCCTGCAGGCCAGAAGAGGGCACCAGATCTCATTACAGATGGTAGTGAGCCACCATGTGGTTGCTGGGAATTGAACTCAGGACCTTTGGAAGAACAGCCAGTGCTCTTAACCTCTGAGCCATCTCTCCAGCCCCCTCTTTTTGATTTTTCAAGTAAGGGTTTCTCTGTGTTACAGCTCTGGCTGTCCTGGAACTCACTTTGTAGACCAGGCTGGCCTTGAACTCACAGAGATCCGCCGGCCTCTGCCTTCCAAGTGCTGGGATTAAAGGGGTGTGCCACCACCCCCCTGATGCTTCCCTTTCTTATAAACCTACTAAATTACACCTTCTCCATCCTATGTTTTCAGGAAGTAATGGAATTCATCACATTAAGTACTTTGTGTTAGTAACAAGTGGGGCTTCAGGTCTGGGGAGTAAAGAACAGAAAAAGTGGTGGGTTTTGTTGTTGTTGTTGTTTATCTGTTTGTTTTTAATTTATTTTATTTTTTTAAGATTTATTTTTGGGCGGTGGTGGCGCACGCCTTTGATCCCAGCACTCGGGAGGCAGAGCCAGGCGGATCTCTGTGAGTTCAAGGCCAGTTTGGTCTCTAAAGCGAGTTCCAGGAAAGGCACAAAGCTACACAGAGAAACCCTGTCTCAGAAAAAAAAAACAAACAAACCAAAAAAAAAAAAAAAAAAACAAAACAACCAAAAAAAAAAAAGATTTATTTTTATTTTATGGGCATTGGTGTCTTGTCTGCATGTATGTCTGTGTAAGGGTGTTGGATCCCCTGTAGCTGGAGTTACAGACAGGTGTGAGCTGCCATGTGGGTGCTGGGAATTGAACCCAGGTCCTCTGGAAGAACAGCCAGTGCTCTTAACTGCTGAGCCATCTCTCCAGCCCAGAAAAAGTATTTTATATGATGTTAAAGACCCTCTCTCTCTTCCGTCTCCCTCCCTCCCTCCCTCCCTCCCTCCCTCCCTCCCTCCATTCTTTCATTTTTTTTAGAAAAAGTAGGACAGTCGTGAGCATGGGGAGTAAAAGGCCCCTTTACCTATGTAGTGAGTTTAAGGTCTGCCTGGTTTACGTGTGACCCTGTCTCAAACAAATAAAAAGAGGTTTCTTTTTTTCCTTGGATTGTCAGAGTCATTCTCTGACGGAGGCGGGCAGGGTGGGGCACGCAGGAGCCAGGGCTCTGGGTTCAGCATGCTTGAGGCTCCCTGTGTTCATTCCCCCGCCACCCCCAGCTGAGGACCGAACCCAGGGCCTTGTGCTTGCTAGGCAAGTACTCTACCACTGAGCTAAATCCCCAACCCGCCCTGTGTTCTTTTTTTGTCCTCCAGACCATGACCTGGTCCTTTGGCTGGAACAGTTTCCTCCCCGTCTACTACATCCGGGATAACCAGAGAGTCATCCTCTACGTCTGTGCGCACACGGCCATCATTTACAACGTCTTCAGGAACACACAGTACCACCTTCAGGTCGGTATGCGGGCTGGCTTTGTCTCCCTGTGAACAAAAAGATGTCTTTGTTTTGTTTTGTTTTGTTTGAGGCAGGGACTCAGACATGGAGCCCAGCCTGGCTCTAGGCTCTCAAACTTCCTGCTTCAGCCTCTGAAGTGGTAGGGATGACAGGCGTGTGCCACCAGGCCGGGCTGGAAGAAGATACCTGTAACAGACATAAAGAACTTTGCCTTGGGTCCCAGGTTCAGAGGTCCTGACTGGGTTGGCCACTTACCTCCATCCCTAGGGAGGACCTATTCCTTTGGACAGTGTATCTCCTTCAGGCTTGTGGAGGAAGAGAAAGCCTGGGAACCCACCCCCAACCCCAACAAGAGATAGAGAAACCTCTGGGAGGGCCCGTGGAAGCCGCTTTCCAGGCAGGCAAGCTTTGGAAAAAGCTCAGGGCTATCTGGACTCAGCCCTCCTTGAGGTCCACACCAGGCCCCATCCTTACTGTTTCTAAGCATGTCTTCTGCATTTCCATAGGGCCACCCTAACATCATCTCCTGCCTCTGTGTCAGCGAAGACAGAAGATGGATTGCCACAGCAGACAAAGGACCAGACTGCCTCATAATTATATGGGACTCCTTCACAGGGTAGGCTCCGCGCGGTCGAATCTTCCTCATTCTAATTCCTGCAGAGGATCATCAGCCACTGTGACCGAGAAAGGGCTAAATTATATTGTTGCCATGAAACTTGGTTTGTTGGTGGCCCAGAGTAGACCGGACCGAGGGAGGGTCACAGTAACCCAGCTCATGAAAGGGTAGAGCATACACTGGATGCCAAATCTGTCACAATCGGGAACCTTACATCTACATCAGATTTTCATTGAAGTTCTTTTTTCTTTTCACAGGGTCCTCTGCAGCCTTTACCTATAACCAGTCCTGTCTTCCTGTCTTTCACAGTCCACCATTCTGTCTCTCTGTGTATGTGTGTGTATAGTTTTATCTTTAACTACTTACTGTGTGTGTGTGTGTGTGTGTGTGTGTGTGTGTGTGTGTGTGTGTGTGTGTGTTTAAATACTAGTTTACTCTCTTACAGATCTAGAGGTATTAAACTAAGGTGCCAGCAGGTCTGTTCCTTCGGGGCCCTGAGGGTGACACTGTCCCAGGATGCTCCCTTCGCTTCTGCTGGCTGCTGGCAGTCCTGGGTGTCCTTTGGCATCTGGTCTCTGCCTCCAACTTCTCCTGGCATTTGCCCCCCGTCTCTGTGTGTCCTCTTCTATAGGACATGGGCCTTAGAGCCTTCCTAATCCAGTATGACGTCACCTTGGCCAACTGCACCTGCAAAGACTCAATTTCTTCCTTTCTTTTTAAAATTATATTTTTACTCTGTGTGTGTGTGTGTGTGTGTGTGTGTGTGTGTGTGTGTGTGTGTGTGTGTGTGTGTCTGTCTGTCTGTCTGTACACGCCATGGCCTTCAAGTGAAGGTTAGAGGAAAGCTTGCAGAGTGTGTTCTCTTCTAATACCCTGTGGGTCCCGGGGATTGCACTCAAGTAGTCAGACTTGATGGCGGGCACCGTCACTCACTGGGCCAGCTCATCTTCCCCAAAGACTCTCTTTCTTTCTTTCTTTTTTTTGGGGGGGGGCCGGGTTTTGAGACAGAGTTTCTCTGTGTAGCTTTGGAGCCTATCCTGGAACTCACTCTGTAGCCCAGGCTGGCCTCGAACTCACAGAGACCCACCTGTCTCTGCCTCCCGAGTGCTGGGATTAAAGGTGTGCGTCACCATGTTAACCATTTAATTTGCTTTTTACACTTATTTATTTGCGTGTGTGTGTGTGTGTGTGTGTGTGTGTGTGTGTGTGTGTGTGTGTCCCCACACATGCCACAGCACATGTGTGGGGGTCATAGATACTAGTGGGAGATGGTTCTCTCCTTCTGTGTGGGTTCTGGTTGTTGAACTGAGGCAATCAATCTTGCCAGCAGGTGCCTGTTCCCACTGAGCCATCTCACCAGCCCGAGTTATGTTTATTATTTATTTTTGGGTTGTTTTGAGACCGGGTTTTGCTATAGATCCAGTCTGTCCTTGAACTCCCGATCCTCCTGAGCACTGGGGTTCTAAGTGTGCACCACCACATCGGGCAGCCATTTTTAAATGTATAATCCAGTGAGCTGCTTCCAGATGTTGCTGTCACTGCAACAGCAGTCCCGTTCTGAGCTGCTCCCATCCTCTCTCCCCCAGCTCCTCTGACACACCTTCTGCCTCCATGGATGTGCCTACTCCAGACATTGCCTGGGAACGGAGTCACAAAGCATGTGGACTTTGTGCCTCTCTCATGGAGCGTAACACCTTTAAAGCTCACCCTGAACTGGGCAGTGGTGGCACACGCCTTTAATCCCAGCACTCGGGAGGCAGAGCCAGGCGGATCTCTGTGAGTTCGAGGCCAGCCTGGGCTACAGAGAGAGATCCAGGACAGGGACCAAAACTACACAGAGAAACCCTGTCTCAAAAAACAAAAAAAAAATAAAAATAAAAAATTAAAAAAAATAAATAAAAAAGCTCACCCTGTTACAGCATTCCAGTCTTTTTTTGGTTTAAAAAACAAAACAAAACTATTTATTTAGAGACTAGAGCAATGGCTCAGTGGTTAGGATCACTGCTCTTCTAGACGACCCAGGTTCGATTCTCGTCTGCCACGTGACAGCTCACAGCCATCTGTAATTCCAATCCCAGGGAATCCTAGGCCCTTTTCTGGTCTCTGGGGGCACTGCATGCATATAGTACATAGACATATATGTAGGTGAAACACCCATCTGCAAACACACCAATAATTCAGTATTTAATTTTATCTTATGGGTGTGGAAAATCATAAGAGGGCGTCAGATCCCCCAGAAATGGAGTTACAGAGGATTGTGAGCTGCCGTGTGGGTGCTGGGAAACAAACCCAGCTCTTCTGCAAGTGCTTTTAACTGCTGAGCCGCCTCGCCAGCCCTGCACTGTCTTTCAAATTCCGTTGACCCTCAGCGCAACAGGAATGAGGCATGGCTTGTCACTGAAGACATTCGTCACAATTTTTCTGAAAACCTAAGTGAATTATTTTAGCTGAAAATTGAAGTCTGCACTGGCCATCATCGCCGGTTACAGTGCCTTTTTCCAGTGATAATCAGTCTGGTTCGCTTCCTTCTGGAACATCTGCTACTGATTTAAACACACACAGAGGGCCTTCATCGGGTGGTTTTTTCTGCATGGTATTTTGTACAGTCATTTCCCAAGAATAAATCTGATGGTGTAGCTCTCTTGACCCTGGCTTGCAGAGAACACATATCCCACACCAGAGCCACAAAGGCTCTTTCCCCAGACAGGGAACTGTCCCCACCCTGTAGGCCTGAGGTCCCTGTGGGCTGTGTGGCGCCCCAACATTTTCTTGCTACAGAGCCCCTGTGACAGCCGCTATGAACAGTCCTCTGTGTGCCACAGTAACGTCACTGGCTGGGACAAAGTCTGGGCTCCAGCTGAAGGACACTGGCTCTCTGTCATCTGGGAAGTGTCAGCTAGCTAAAATGCAGCCCCAGACGTTCCCATGGCAGCCCTCACATCGTTGGAAATGGAAGCTTGGAGTTCATGGCAGGAGAAAGGACCTCAGCCCTGCAGAGGTTTCCAATCAAAATCACTCAGCTCTGTGGTATTTACATACATATGACCCAAAAAACCTTGTTCATAATTTTAGGGACTACATAAAGTTTAAGAGAATTTGACGTATCGGAGTCTCTAGCAGATTAGATTTGTGATTCTAATTGAAAATGTGTGGCTGATTTAGACTTCCAATTTTAAATAGAAATCATTTTAGCTTTATAAACAGTGTTAGAAATACTGTTTGCCATACTTGTGGATAAATTTATCAGACTTATAGGAATTACTTCAGTATTGGTGAGAAATTTGTTTTCTTAATTAGACCACAAAAAAAAACTTAACCGTGCTGGGGCGGGTGGTGGCGCACGCCTTTAATCCCAGCACATCGGGAGGCAGAGCCAGGCGGGATCTCTGTGAGTTCGAGGCCAGCCTGGGCTACCAAGTGAGTTCCAGGAAAAGGCGCAAAGCTACACAGAGAAACCCTGTCTCGAAAAAACCAAAAAAAAAAAAAAAAAAAAACTTAACCGTAAAACTGAATGTATTATATTTCCACACCCAGCCTAAAACTTTTTTAAGATTAATAGCCAAATTTGTGTAGTTATACATTAGTCAAAGCTGCACAAAGGTGGCTGTGAAAAATATGCTACATTCATAAAGTGAGTAGGATTGGTTTTGAGACAGTGACCTCCTAGATAATCTAAGGTGACCTGGAATTTACTGTGTAGCCCAGTCTGGCCCGACACTCAGGATCCTCCTGTCTCAGCCTCCAGCTACCGGGCTGACAGATGTTGGCCGCCACACCCAGCTAATCTTTTGCTGTGGTCGAGGCTGCAGTAGTAGGAATTGAGCCTGGGGTCATACACAGGCTCTGTGGGTACTCCCTCACTGAATTACATCCTCAGCCCTGAGTAAGTCTTTTCAATTGAACAAAAACCTTAAGGAAAAATAGTGTTTTTCTTTAACTTGTGACTTTAATAAAGAGAATATTAAATTCTAAGACCAGAAACAGCCTCTGAATAATCTTTTATGGGCCATAAGTTATCAGATCGGATATCATAGAACTCAAACCAGGCACCAAGCTGTAAGTGGGCTTTCTCTGTCCAGCCAGCAGGCTCCCAAATAACCACACAGAGACTTATTACTAATTATAAATGCTTGGTTGATAGCTCAGGCTTGATACTAACTCCTAGATCTTAAATTAACCCATATTTCTTATCTCTGCTCTACCATGTGGCAGTACCTTTTCTCAGTACAGCATGTGTTCATCTCCTGCTTCCCCTGCGGCTGCCTGGTGACTCCACCCTTCTTCCCTGCATTCTCTCTGCCCCCCAAATCCTGCCTAGCTATTGGCTGCTCAGCTTTTTGTCAAACCAATCTGAGTGGCAAATCTTCACAGTGTACAAAGGGATTATTCCACAGCACCAAGCTGGGCTACAATAGTGAGACTCTGTCTCAAAAAACAAAAACAAACAAACAAAAAACAAAACAAAACTCTGAGTCTAGCTGGGAGCCCATGTCATAAAGAAGAAAGCAGTGATGGGTCAACACTGTTCCCATTGGGTCTAGCCACGAAGGCAACTGTCCACAGAGGCTTCCAAGAAGAGACATGACTGACATGACCTTCTGTTGGGAGACTTCTGTGGACATCCTCTTGCGTGGGTCAGGATTCTCTCAGGGTCAAGTTGGGTGTTCCATGACTCTCCAGGGCTGAGGTCCTTTCTCCCACCATGAGCTCCGTGATCCCATCCCCAACGATGTGAGGGCTGCCATGGGAACGTCTGGGGCTGCATTTTAGTTAGCTGACACTTCCCAGATGACAGAGAGCCAGTGTCCTTCAGCTGGAGCCCAGACTTTGTCCCAGCCAGTGACGTTACTGTGGCACACAGAGGACTGTTCATAGCGGCTGTCACAGGGGCTCTGTAGTAAGAAAGTGTGGGGCGCCACACAGCCCACAATCTTACTGCCACCCGATCCCCCCTCCCAGTTTAAGTCAGTGACCTCTCCCACCCCACATACTTGCTCCTGCCCTCTCTTGCATTCATTAGTTCCCATTGCAGTTTACACGTCACCTACTTGAATTCGGCATGTCAAGACTCTGAATGAACTGCCCTGTTGTGAGTCTCAGCATGGACACAGAGTAGGAGTGTGTAAGTGAGAACACGAAAATGTCTCCTTACTCAAACCCCGGCTCCAAACCAGAACCACGAAGTATGTTGGGAATCTGTTCCAGGTTTTACGTGTCTGAAGGAGTGTGCATGTCCACAGAAGGGAGCAGACTGTGTTTGCCTGTTTGCACTTGGATTATTGTTATTATTATTATTATTATTTTATTATTATTTTTTTTATTTTTTTTTCGAGACAGGGTTTCTCTGTGTAGTTTTGGTGCCTGTCCTGGATCTGTAGACCAGGCTGGCCTCGAACTCACAGAGATCTACCTGCCTCTGCCTCCCGAGTGCTGAGATTAAAGGCATGTGCCCGGCCAGCAATTGCTTTTTAAAACATCATTTATTTTTTATCACATCCATTTATTTGGGAGGCACAGGCATGTGGTGACTCAAGTATGGAGGTCAGAGGACAACTTGTGGGAGTCGGTTCCCTCCTTCCACCATGCAGGTCCCTGGGGTCAAACTGGGGTCATCAGGTTTGGTGGTAAGCATCCTTTGCCCCGAGTCTCTTGGGAGGCAGAGCCCGGTGGCCCGGAAGTCAGAGTAGGTGCACTGGAGCAAAGCAGCTCACCTCATGCTAGCCAGGAAGCACACAGGAAGGGCCTAGAGCAAGCTCTCTTCCTGGGACATGACCCCAGTGACTATTTCCATAAGGCCCCACTTTCTAGTTTCCCTTACCCCTGTGTGTGTGTGTGTGTGTGTGTGTGTGTGTGTGTGTGTGTGTGTGTGTGTGTGTGTGTGTGTGTTGGGGGGTGCATATGTTAGTGGCCAGAGTGTGACTTTGGGGAGCCATCTTCTTTTACTCTCTACCTTATTCACTGACACAGGGTCTCTCAGTTGAACCCAGAGTTTGCCGATCTGGCTAGTCTAGCTAACCAGCTTGCTCTGGGGATCCCTGTCTCGGCCTCCCAAGTACCAGATTAACAAGTGGGCCACTGCACCCACCCAGCATTTATGTGTACATTCTGGGGACCCCAACTCTGGTTTTGCTTGCATGGCAAGTGCTCTAACCACTGAGCCATCTCCCCAGCCCCACATTCTAGTTTCTACCGTCACCCAGTAATGCCATCATACTATGAATCGATCCAGGAATTAATCCATTGATAAGCATAAAGCCTTCAGGATTCAGTCACTTCCCCACAGTCTATCAGCTGATAGCCAGGCCTTTGTGGACATGGCCGGTTCAAGCCTTACAGCATCCTTCATGTCTGGCAAAAGTGCCCTGGATAGAATCAGCACCAGGAAGAAGTGAACGAGGGACCAGAGTGCTCCTGAAGACAGTACCCAGCACACTCACCCTACTGCTCTGAGTTAGGCCTGCTGTTGTTATTGAGATAACGTTCAAATAACGGAAAACCGGACACATGAACGTTTGCAGTGAGGGTGGGCATCTGGTCATAGTGTTACGCAAGCATCACCTTTACCTTGTTACAAAACAGTTTAATCGTCCCTGGGAGCATTGACTCCCATGTCCCCCGACCCCCCCCCCCCCCCAATCTGTTTTCTGCTCACAGAGTCGGTACATTTCCTCTCTGTGGGCTGGCGTGTGTGAGCTTTTATGTCTGGCTTCCTTCATTAGCGTCACGTTCCCGGGGTGTGTCTGAGTCGTGGCATGTATCAGCGCGTCTTTCCTCTTTGTGGAAGAATGAATAATAATGACTGTTTGCTCATGTATTATTAATGAATAAAAATGAATTAATTCAGCTGTGCCTACTAGTTCATAGCTGTAACCCCAGCACTCAGGAGGATCATAATGTGGAGGCCAACCTGGGCTATAGAGCAAGATCATGTCAAAAAAAAAGGGGTGGGTGGGTGGGGGGTGACAGCTGGTGACTTGACTTAGCCGTTATGAGGCTGGCTGCCCTTGCTGAATTCAGTTCTTAGCATCCATGTCCAGTAGTTCACCGTTTGTAACTCCAGATTGATGGGATCAAATGCCCTCTTCTGGCCTACACAGGCCATTTACATGCATATATCTGTGCACACATATACATCATTTAAAAAAAATATTTAAAAAAGAATGAATTGCCAGGCAGTAGTGGCACTCGTGTCTACAGGAGTATTCCAGGACAGCCAGGGCTACACAGAGAAATGCTGTCTCAAAAAAATTTAAAAAAGGGCTGGAGAGATGCTTCAGAGGTTAAGAGCATTGATTGCTCTTCCAGAGTCCTGAGTTCAATTCTCAGCAACCGCATGGTGGCTCACAACCATCTATGATAGGATCTGGTGCCCTCTTCTGGCCTGCAGATGTACATGTAGGCAGAACACTGTATACATAATAAATGAATCTTTCAAAAACATATATAATAAAAAGAATAAATTATTTATACACTAATGTTAATTAGACATGAATATTCCTTCGCATAGACATCAATCATACTTTGTTATGTTTTTGGAAGGTTTGGAGTTCAGCCCTGTCACGGCCTCACTGGGAAGCCAGGCATCTCTCGGCAAGGCCATCCCTCTCTGTCCTGTTTTTCAGAATCCCTGTGCACACCATATTTGACAGCTGTCCAGAAGGTAATGGCATAAGATCAATAGCCATCACCCGTGATGCCAAGCTTCTGGCTACCATCTCAGATGCCGAAATCCAGGTAAAGAGTCCTTTAGGAGACCTCTCTGAGCTGGCCAACATGCCAGACGTCTTTGCAGCCACCTCTGCACAGACCACCTGGTGTGTGTGTGTGTGTGTGTGTGTGTGTGTGTGTGTGTGTGTGTGTGTGTGTGTGTGTTGTGTGTGTGTGTTCTAGACTTCACAGTGCAGAGTTGGGGGCCCGTGCCTAGGGCTTGACTGAGTCTTTTGCTCAGTTACCTGAGACCGCAGGGTTCCCATATCCGTAGGCTTCTCCTTGCACCCTCAGGGACCTCTTCTGTCCCTCACTATGCTCTCTCTTGCAGAAAGTGTGCATCTGGAAGTGGACGTTGGCAGTGGAGAAGCCTGCATGCACTCTCGATCTTCCCAAAGAGTATGGTTTCCAGGTGCGTCGTGTTTGAGCCTGGGAGTGCTAGCCTGTGCTTTACACTGAGGCTGCCTTGTCGGGTCTCTTTGTGTTGGTGGGGTTTTGTCATGGTGCAGAGGGACCTTTGAACAATACTTTCCTAGCCCAGACCTCGTTTTATCCTTCCTAATAACAGCTAATGTGTTTGACACACTCCTAGATCCTGCCCAATTCTTTACTTACATTATCTCCCATAATCTACACACACATGCAGGTGAAGAGTTATTAACGTCTGTGGACTGCCACTATTAATTATTAAGTATTCTATCTAAAGCCACCCCGACAACAGCCTTCCTTACTTCAGAAGCAGGCGCTCGGCTGCTTCTAACCTTGCGGTGAGTTGGTGAAGTATATGGATACATCGGTGTCAGCTTGCGTAAGAAGGCTTGGCTAGGACAGCCCGAGTGCTACCGTGAGGCCTCTCTGTGTCCCACAACACTGCTTCTCATGTTTTCTTTCTTCCTCCGGTGTGTATATAGAGGACTGGTCTATAGCTGGCCCTGTGGTACCTGGGTCACGGGACCTGAAACTCAAGAGTGTCAACTGACTAACTCAGCAAAACTCAGATCCTGATGCAGTCAGATGTCCAGCTGCCCCACCTCCACCATCCTGTCAATCACTCAGAATTTGCACTGACCCAGCAGCCAGCCATATGTGGCTATTTAGACGTGTGTGTTTTTGTGTGTGTGTGTGTGTGTGTGTGTGTGTGTGTGTGTGTGTGTGGTGTGTGAAGTGTGCGTGTGTATGCATGTGTGGCAGCCGCAAGGGTTTATGTCTGAAATTGTCCTTCATTGCTCTCCCACTTTACTTACTGGGGCAAGGTCTCTCAATCAAACCCAGAGCCAACTGATCCGGTTACTCTTGCTAGCCAGCTATCTGGGGATTCCCCCATCTCCGCCTTCTGAGGCTGGAATCACATACAGGCAGGCTACCGGGTTCCCTCAACAGCTGCATAGGTTCTGGAGATTCCAGCTTGGGTCCTCAGGCTTGTGTGGCAAACGCCTTGAAGTGCAGAGTCACCTCCCTGGGTTTGCTCTTCAGCTTTTGTTAAAACCTAGGCATATCTGGAAACAGGGACTCTAAATTGAGCAATTGCCTCCATCACATTGGGCTGTGGGTAAGCAAGGCATTTTCTTGATTACTAATTTATGTGGGGGAGGGCTCAGCCCACCGTGGGCGGTGTCATCGGTGGACAGGTGTGCCTGGGCTGTATAAGAAAGCAAGCTGCCGAGTGGAGGTGGTGCACGTCTTTAATTCCAGCACTTGGGAGGCAGAGCCAGGCGGATCTCTATGAGTTCGAGGCCAGCCTGTTCTACTTACGAGATCCAGGACAGGCATCAAAACTACACAGAGAAACCCTGTCTTGGAAAAACAAAACAAAAACAAACAAACAAACAACAAAAAGAAAGAAAGAAAAAAGAAAGAAAGCTATGCAATCCATGAAGTTTGTAGTCTGTTTGGTTCCTGCTTTGTGTCCGCGTCCTGTCTCCCCTCCATTGGACCCTTTCCTCTTCCAATTGCTTTTGATCAATGTTGTATCACAAACCAGGACACCAGTCCCAGACTTGGCAGTTTTGAGATAGGTCCTGGATGTGCAGCCAGGTAGCCTTGAACCCAGGTAGCCTTGGTTTCGGGTCTTGGCCTCCCGAGTGCAAGGATTACAGGTGTGTGCTGCTACAGTTGGCTTCGGGTTTCTTTGTTTCTGTACAAAATGCCTTCAGGGCTTTCCCCTCACGGAGTCTGTAGATCCCTTTGTGAAATATTGTCATCTTAATTATATTGTTTTCCAATCCCAGAGCACCAGGGGTCCCTCGGTTTGTGTATGCTGTCTTCGGTTCTTTTTTTGGGCAGGGCTTTGTAATTTTGAACGTACAAATCGTTTTGCCTCCTGAGTTAAATTTACCCCTGCATATTTTTTTTTTTCCCTTTCTGGTGCTTTTGAAAGTGGAATCGCTTCCCTAATTCCCCTTTTCAAGTTGTTCACAGCAGCTGTATAGAAACACAGCTGGATTCCCCTCCTTAGCTTTGTGTCCTGCAACTTTACCAGACGCACTATTTAGGTTTCAATGGATGACGGCGAAACAAAATGACAAGTTTGCTTCTCCAGCTCTCCTAGCCACATTCTAAGTTCTCCCCAGCCACATGTGGCCCGGTGGCTACAGTATTCGATGCATTCCATGGCAGAGGTGTCCCGTTAGTCCAGCGGGCGGAGTCCCTTCCACCTTCCCCACAGCCGTTCCTGTGGCTGACGGCTGACAGCATTCCTCATGTGCCACTGAGAGGTTAGGGCCGGGCCGGAGAGGTGGCTCAGAGGTTAAGAGCACTGGGTGCTCTTCCTGAGTTCAATCCCCAGCACCCACATGGTGGCCCACAACCATCTCTAATGAGATCTGGTGCCCTCTGCTGGTTTGAAGACATACATGCAGACAGAACACTGTATACACAATAATAATCCAATAAATAAATCTTTTTAAAAAAAATTAGAGAGGTTAGGGCCATGAGGGGCAAACACTAGCCTGTTCCCACTCCAGAGTCTGCAGCTGCCTCCACCCCCACAGTGTTTCTTTCTCCCTCTAACTGCTCCGTGGAGGGCTAGCTCACTAGACCCCTTGGACTCCTCCGGCTATCCCCGCACCCACCCCATCCCCCACCCCGCCCCTGTGGCCCTTCACTTGGTCTCTTTAACCCTGAACCAGCACGGAGCAGATCACATCACTTAACCCTGAACCAGCACGGAGCAGATCACATCACTTAGCTCCTGTGGGCTCCAAATCTCCTCCTAGCTTTTGCCCTTTGCTCTTTTCTTAGGGTTTGTTTATTTCTTGTTTTTTGCTGTGAAGAGACACCATGACCATGGCCACTAACTCCTACAAAGAAAACATTCCATTGAGGCGGCGGTTTACAGTTTCAGAGGTTCGGTCCATTATCATCATGACAGGGGTTGGGGGGTACGGATACATCTTGATCAGAAGGCAGCAGGAAGTTGACTATCAGTCACACTAAGGGAAGCTTGAGCAGGAGACCTCAAATCCCGCCCCCACAGTGACACACTTCCTCCGACAAGGCCACGCCTCCTAATAGTGCCACACCCTTTGGGGACCATTTTCTTTCAAACCAGCACACTGCTCTTCACATAAAACTTCTGGAAGGGAGTTGGTACGATGTCTCACTAGGTAAAAGCGGTTAGCACACAAGCCTGATGATCTGAGTTGGACCCCTGCAACTCACGGCAGAGGGAGCCATGCAGTTCCTCTGACCTCCATGTGAGGGCCTGTACTCACACACACAATGCATAATATATATATAAAAAAAAAATTTTAGACTGCCTCCCACCCCGCAAAGTTTTGACTTCTTAATGTTTAATTTCATAATAATTATCATTGTGTGCGCGTGTGTTTGGGGGAGGTTGTGTGCCTAGAAATCAGAAGACAACTCTGTGGAGCCAGTACGCTCATTCCACATGTACGTGGGTTTCGGGGATCGAACTCGGGCTGTCAAGCTTGCATGGCAAGCACCAGGCATCTTTAACCGCTGTGCTATCTTTCCAGCCTCATTTCTTTCACTCAGCTTACTTCCTGACACTGGTCACAGATTTCTTTTTTTATTTTTAACTTCTCTGTTTTGGCTGGTGGTGCCTGGGTGTGTCAACTGCTTGTTTATCCTCTGTTAATGGGCATTTCGGTTATTCCCTCCTAGTGACTAATAAGAGCAGATGCTTTTATGAGACAAGCCTTCATTTCTTTTTTTTTTTTTTTTTTGGTTTTTCGAGACAGGGTTCCTCTGTGTAGCTTTGCGCCTTTCCTGGCTCTCGCACTGTAGACCAGGCTGGCCTCGAACTCACAGAGATCTGCCTGGCTCTGCCTCCCGGGTGCTGGGATTAAAGGCGTGCGCCACCACCGCCCGGCTTCATTTCTTATTATTTATTTGTGACGGGTATACGGCGCTGGTTGGTCAGGGGAAAAGTCACGGGCCACGGCAGAACCCAATGTTAGTTTTTAGAGCTTTATTAGGAGGGAAAATGGGTGTGGAGAAGGGGACCAGGCTTTTTTAAGGCGGGGATTGTGTCAGCGCCTGCTGATGATGTAAGACGTTAGACCCAAGCTGCACATGTACAGAATCCTAACAATTTTTTTATTTTTATTTTTATTTTTGAAGGCTTATTTCCCCTAAATGATGGCCAACCGTGTAACCTTTAATCCTGGCCCATAGGAGGCAGAGGCAGGTGGATCTCTGTGAGTTTCAGGCCAGCCTGATCTACAGAGTGAGCCCCTGTCTCAGGGGAAAAGAAAAAGAAAAAAGACACAAAAGTATAGAAATTCCTTGCAGTTCAGTAGAGAACTTCCTTGGCAGAAAAGACACTTTGACCAGAAAGTGCACTGGTTAAAGGCTGGTTCCCAGCCCTGGGGAGGTCTGGCCAAGCACTTCACTAGTCCACATCACCCCCAGGCCCGTGCTGGCCTGTGAGTCTAACACAGACATTGGTGGTTCACGTTTCCATTGCTGTGATCGAGCGAGGGGCTGGCAAGGGGGCAGGGGGTGTGGGGCGGGAGTGGGGGCAGAAACAGCCTGCCCTGCCTCATCTTGTGCCAGGCCACCACTACCCCAGACTGCAGCCCCCTCTCCCTACACAGGCTCCCACCTTCCAGCCCTTGGGGGGGGAGGGGTTCTGCCTCCATAGCTGTTGTTATTGTTTGGTTTCTGCATCTAACGGTTTCCCCTCGCTTCAGTTTCTGCAGAGTTAATTTTTGGGAAGGGCGCCAACAGCTCACGCCATACTGTCTTGGCAGGAATTCCCTTCTCAGCCCTCACGGCCGTTCCAAGATCCCTTGTGGCCCTGTCAGTCTCCGAAGTGTGCATGCGTCAGCCTTTGTCTCCAAGAACGCGGACTAAAGATTATTAGTGATGGGGTAGAGGCTGCGGATGAAGGGGAGAGTGCATGCTTAGCTGTGTGACGCCCTGGGTTCATTGCCCACCAGGGGGAAAGCAAAGAATAAATGAATAACTAACTGGTGACTGTAGTTTATTCTTGGCTTGTTGTGCGTGATGACTTATAATAGATAAAACTTGTAAAAGGAACACGTCTTACCCTGCTTTCTTCACAGCCAGAATTTAAATGCTCCTTTGGCTTCCCAGGTTTGACGTCTTGCATTGTTACGTCTATCCCTTCTCAGTTATTTATTTGAATTAAAATTATTATTTCATTGCAACGCTCAGCTGAAGCAGCGAGAAGCAGGTTCGTTTTCTTTTTTTTTTCTTTTTGGTTTTCTGAGACAGGGTTTCTCCATGTAGCTTTGGAGCCTGTCCTGGATCTCGCTCTGTAGCCCAGGCTGGCCTCGAACTCACAGAGATCCTCCTGCCTCTGCCTCCCAAGTGCTGGTATTAAAGGCGTGCGCCGCCACCGCCACCGCCACCGCCACCGCCACCACCCGGCTGCAGGCTCGTTTTCATGTAACACATGTTCATGCCTTCTGCTGCAGAACTACCTCACCTTCAACCCCAGGAACAACAAAGAACTGGTGAGCAACAGCAAGACACAGACCATCTTTTACTCCTGGGTAAGTAGAGGCAGAGCCGTTTCCAACTGTGGATGGAAACGTAGGTTTAGTTTTTGAATACAGATGTTCCATCGTATAGTAATAGTGCATCTATTTTGGAAAAAGTGAGCATGTATTTAAACATTTTGATTTAATTATGGCATTTCTCTTAGTCTCACTGGAAATTAGCATATTAAATTAGAAGCAGATAATTAAACTTCATTTACATTTTTAAGGTAATGAGGCAAATATTTATTTGACCATATTTAATAGGTCTAAAAGATAGAGGTTTGGGTTTTTTTTTTGTTTCTTTTTCTTTTCTTTCTTTCTTTTTTTCTTTTTTTTCTCTTTTGACAGTTTCTCTGTGTAGCCCTGGCTGTCCTGGAACTCGCTCTGTAGCCCAGGCTGGCCTGGAACTCAGAGATCCGCCTGCCTCTGCCTCCCGAGTGCCAGGATTAAAGGCGTGTGCCACCACGGCCTGGCTCAGAAAGGAATTTTTTTAAAGTAAAAAATAGTTCATTAAATAAATTGACAATTTCATACATGTAAACAATGCATCTTGACCATATGCGCCCCAATTCCCCCTCTACCTGCCCTCAGGAATCCCCAACTCTCCTTTCCCATTCCCTTCAGGAACCCCCAACTTCTCTATCTACTCCCCCTAGGCACCACAACATGTGCCCCACCTTTTTACGTCATTCATTCATTCATTCATTCATTCATTCATTTAATGAGATTAAAGAAACACCCAAACAGCCCCAGCTGACCACAGAGGGACTGTGACTCCGAGTTCTGAGGTGCTTGCCGTACAGAACTGCAAGCAGCTGCTCATTCACATAGTTCTGCCTAACTTGTCCCTGCAGCAGCAAGAGTGACAGTGACCAAAATGCTCGGCCTGTGGTGGTGCACATCTTTAATCCCAGTACTAAGGCAACAGAGGCAAGAGCATCTCTGTGAGTTCGAGGCCAGCATGGTCTAAAAAAGAGAAGAAGGGAAAAATAAAGATAAAGAAGCCACACAATTCGGCTATGGAGTGTATGATTCCATTTATATGGAACGTTGGACTAGGGAAGTCCGTAGAGACAGGGAGTAGATTCATGGCGGTCAGAGGCTGAGCAGAGCAGGAAGGGAGTGACCGCAGGTCTCCCTAGGATGACAGGCATGGTCCCTATGCAGCATTGTGAATATCATACATGGCACTGACGTGAACACCTAACAAAATGCGCTTGCTTTAAAAAAAAATTTTTTTTTTTTAAAGGCGGAGCCAAACCAAAGACTTGTTGAAAAGCTGTCTGTCAGCGGTATTTACTGCTCGGGGTGTTTATTTTCATTTTAAAGCCTCATTAGTGTAGAGCTCAGACTTGCATTAACCGCCATACCGAGGCACAATCAAGCCTGGCTTTTAAATAGATTTGCGTTTCTTTTCCAATGTTTTTAGACATTCCCCAGGCAACAGGCTTTTTTCCTATAGGAACTGCAGCCCTCCAGCCCCATCTGGGCACATTCGGTCTGGGCTAGCTAGCGCGTGGTCCCTGTTTTGACAGCTTACTCTTTAAATAGTAACGTCTTTTTCTGTGCTTTTCAGTTTGAAGAGAAGGGTATCCTGGCTCACAGTGCCCCGGTTTTAACAGAGAAAGTGAGTATTCTTGTCGTATCTGCATGGCAGACACTGTGAAGGGTAAATACAGATGTGCAGACTCAGTGGGCAGGGCTGTGCCTTAATGTGAAGCCGGAGGGAAAGAATTTGAACATTTTTGCTTGGATTCTTTATCCATAAGGAATCATCTTGTTAAAAATAATGGAAGTATTGTAAAAATAAAATCAAATGTGATGGGAAAAGTTGTTATTGGTATGAGGAGGTAGCCAGAGAATGGACAGATTTTGTCATGTGCATGTGTATATTGACAAAGAATAAGAGTTAGATATGGGGGTTGGGGATTTAGCTCAGTGGTAGAGTGCTTGCCTAGTAAGCGCAAGGCCCTGGGTTCGGTTCTTAGCTCTGGAAGAAAAAAAAAAAGAGGTATGACAGAAGGTTTGCCAAGGGGAGGATAATGATGAGATGAATGGACACAAGGAAAGATGGTTTATCCTGGGTTCAAATCCCAGGACTACAAACCAACCAACCAACCAACCAACCAAAGGAACGAACACTCCTAGGAAAGATGATTGTGTCTGTCTGCAGACTGCGTTCTCAGGAATTAAAACGCAGGAAGTATGGTCAATGGTTTTGACTCCTGGTGATCTTATGAAGTCTCTCAGAATAACAAATTAGAAAATAGTGAACCATTGCTCCTGAGGGAGTGTAGAGGTTGGTTTCTGTAAGCTGGTGCCATGTTTTCAGTTGATAAGTGCATAACCTTGTTCATGTAGGCTCCTCCTTCAAAGATATTTTTTAGATATAACATCGAGGGCCAGGTGTGGTGGCACACACCTTCAATCACAGCACTTGGGAGGCAGAGGCAGGTGGATCTTTGTGTTCAAGGTCAGCCTGGTCTACAGAGTGAGTTCCAAGCCAGCCAGGACTGTACAGCGTCTCAAACAAAACTAAACCAGAAAAAAAAAAAAATCCCAGCAACACTGAGGGCTGAGGATGCAGCTCAGTTGGTACAGTGCTTGGTTACCATGCGTCTAGAAGGAGAGAACCTTGACTGAGAAAAATGCCTCCATAAAATCCAGCTATAAGGCATTTTCTTAATTAGTGGTTGATGGGGGAGGGCCCAGCCATTGTGGGTGGGGCCACCCCTGGGCTGGTGGTCCTGGGTTCTGTAAGAAAGCAGACTGAGCAAGCCATGAGGAGCAAGCCAGTGAGCAGCACCCCTCCATGGCCTCTGCGTCAGCTCCTCCCTCCATGTTCCTGCCCTGTTTGAGTTCCTGTCCTGACCTCCTTCAATGATGGACTAAGATATGGAAATGTAAGCCAAATAAATCCTTTCCTCCCCGAGTTGCTTTGGTCACGGTGTTTCATCGAAGCAATAGAAACCCTGGCTAAGACACAAAACTAGGATCTCTTTGTAGAGGGCAATGGGCAGCAGATAGGCCGTGTTATATGATAGATTGCTGAGTTTCCTTCCTTCCTTCCTTCCTTCCTTCCTTCCTTCCTTCCTTCCTTCCTTCCTTCTTCCTTCCTTCCTTCCTTCCTTCCTTTTCACTGAAGGGTTTCATCATAGCTCATTTGTTTCTCTCTATATATTTTTAAAAAGATTTTGTTTTAAAATTAAGTGTGCCGGGTGGTGGTGGTGCACGCCTTTAATCCCAGCACTCGGGAGGCAGAGGCAGGCGGATCTCTGTGAGTTCGAGGCCAGCATGGTCTCCAAAGCGAGTTCCAGGAAAGGCGCAAAGCTACACAGAGAAAACTCTGTCTGGGAACCCCCCCCCCCCAAAAAAAAATCAAGTGTATGTGGGTGGGGGCGTTATGTGCCTGAGAGTGTTGGTGTCTTTGGAGGCTGAGGTATCAGATTCCCTGGAGCTGGACTCCTAGATGGTTGTGAGCTGCCCAACATGGGTGCTGAGAACTGAACTCAGGTCCTCTGGAAGAGCAGTACATGCTCTTACTCTCTGAGTTATCTCTCCAGCCCTCTTTTCATATTTCCCCTCTGAAACCTTGTGTAAGAAAGACGGCTAAATGCCTTATTTATTTCTCAAAGCATACCCTGACTAAGAGGCCTTACCGAAGTATTCTTATGTGAAGGGATGAAATAATTTCTTCTGATGAGACAATACCTTACTAGCAAAGGACATCAGGGTAATTGCTTTATATTTTTCACCCAGAGCATGCCTTTCCTCATGACAGACTCTGCATTTAACAACCTCCATGGGAGACGCTGGATGGGTATCAGCAGTAATTAACCACTCATTGGTTTGGTTAAACAGTGTAACTAACTGAGCACAGCACATAACCTGCGATCCCCCCGTGGATTTTCAGTCATTCCTTTTTTTTCTTTCTTTTTTATCTAACTGTATTTCATCCTGACATTATAAAACTCCACACCGATACATGTTTTGGTGCTCCCCCCCGCCCCGCCCCGCCCGCTGGCTGTAACTTATAACCTGTCTTTGAAACCCAGACATTCAACAAACTCGTGGGAAAATTTAGCCAGTCCATCTTTCACTTGAAGTTATCGCAAATACTGTCAGCCACGAAGGAAGGGAAGCTGGTTGTCTGGGACGTCCACTACCCGCCATCGTCCTCCTCCGTGCCGGCCCTTCCTTTCATCAAGCCTTGCAAGCTGGTCCATTTACAGAAGGAAGGCATCACTGTCCTCACCACAGTTGACAAGTAAGGAGCCTGATTAGAGGAGATCCTGGGGTGATGACACATGTATTGTGGACCTCTGTTTTATCTAAAAATTAATTAAATAAATAAATAAAACATAATCACATCCTTTTTCCCCTCTAACCCCTCCCAGGTACCCCCTTACCCTTTCCCCAATTCATGGCCTCTTTTTAAAAATTGTTGTTACAGCCGGGCGGTGGTGGCGCACACCTTTAATCCCAGCACTTGGGATGCAGAGCCAGGAGGATCTCTGTGAGTTCGAGGCCAGCCTGGGCTACCAAGTGAGTTCCAGGAAAGGCGCAAAGCTACACAGAGAAACCCTGTCTTGAAAAAAACCAAAAAAAAAAAAAAAAACCCCAAAAAATTGTTGCATATTATAATATATATATTTATATATATATTCCTAAATTAATAGATGCAACCCACACAGTCTATATAATGTTGCCTGTATGTGTTATGATTTCAGCACTTGGTATTGGATAGCTAGTTGAGGGGTTTGTCCCCCGGGGAAGACTATTCTTCCAGCTCTCTCCATAGGCCTGAGTTTTCTATTAGACCCTTTTTGTACAGCTAGTCACAGATACACAGAGTGTTTCTGGGGACAGCCATAGCTAACTTAGGGACATTAGTTGCCTCTCAGCAGGAGAACTGAGCGCTTTGAGGTTCAAGAGAGGAATGGGTTCTTTTTGGTTTGGTTTTCGAGACAGGGTTTCTCTGTGTAACAGCTCTGGCTGTCCTGGAACTCCCTCTGTAGACCGATTGGGCCTTAAACTCCCAGAGATCTACCTGCCTCTGCCTCCAGAATGCTGGGATTAAAGGTAAATGCCACCACTGCCCAGCAGGAATAGGTTCTTGCTTGTTACATGCACTAACAGGTATTTTATTATTATTATTATTATTATTATTATTATTATTATTATTATTATTATTATTTTTGTTGGTTTTTGGAGACAGGGTTTTGATGGGTCTCATTGAGTAGCTCTGGCTAGCTTGGAGTTCACTGTATAGACCAGGCTGTCCTGGAACTCACAGAGATATGCCTTCTTTTGCCTCATCCCTCTGAAGTGCTGGAATTAAAGGTGTGTGCCACCCTGCCCGACCCCGAACTTGACTTTTAAAAGCTCATGGGCACACATTGTGTTTAAAAATTCTACTTGTTAGTGAAACAAAAAGTCACTCCTTTTCTTCTGCGATAATGAAAGCCATCTCATACTTTAAATTTAAGAAAATACCGCAAGGGGCTGGAGAGGTGGCTCAGCTGTTAAGAGCGCTTGCTGCTCCTGCAGAGGACCTGAGTTTGGGTCTCAGCACCCACATGGTGGCTCACAACCATCCATAACTCCATTTCCAGGAGATCCAACACTCTCTTCTGACCTCTAAGGACACCAAGCATGCATGTGGCACACATACATACATGTACGCAAGATACCCATGCACATAAAGATTTAAAAAAAAAACCTAAAATATTTTTTAAAAAGAGGACTCAGATAGCATTATCATTTTTTGTTTGTTTGTTTGTTTTTCAAGACGGGGTTTCTCTGTGTAGCTTTGGTGCCTGGCCTGGATCTCGCTCTGTAGACCAGGCTGGCCTCGAACTCACAGAGATCCACCTGGCTCTGCCTCCCGAGCGCTGGGATTAAAGGCATGTGCCACCGCTGCCCGGAAGCTTTATCATTTTGATTGCAAAATAATGTCTACACATTATGTAAAGATCAACTATATTTTTGTGTTCGACTATTTGAGACAGGGTCTCACTCCGGAACCCAGCCTGGCCATAAACTTGTGGTCTTCCCGGCTCAGCTTCCCAAGTGCTAATATTCCGTGTGTTCACCCGGGGAGCTGGCATATCGTGGTAAAATTTGCCGTTCTTGGGTTTGCGTAAAAGCACTTGTCATGAAAATCTGGCGGTTTGAGTGCGGTCCCTGGAACCCGTGAAAAAGGGGGGGAAGGTGAGGACTGACTTTCAAAGTGCCCTTTGACCGCACACTTGCGCACATGTGCTCATCCCTTGGGGCATTTTATGAGGATTTCAGGTACCCTGCTTGGCACACTGGGGAGCCCTAGGTAAAAAGCAGCCGTCATTAATGTGTTAGGAAAGTTCCCGGAAGTTCAGCCTGTCTCTGCCTCCTGAGTGCTGGGATTAAAGGCGTGCGCCACCGCTGCCCAGTAGGAATAGGTTCTTGCTTGTTACATGCACTAACAGGTATAATAAATACCTGTTAGAACCTGCGCTGTGGCTGGAGCCACTGTTCAATCGGTCTTCACTGCGCCCATTAACGTTTCCTAAGTGGTGCAGGGGCGCTGGGCAGCCCTGGCATCCTGGCGTGCCTGTGCAAAGAGGTATGCAGTCACCATCTCAGAGGTGTGAGAAGACATGTTAGCTGGGGGTTAGAGCCTTTGAAGACCAGGCCTGGGTCCCCCCTCTCCCGTATTGAGGAACACTAGGAGGAGAAGGGTTCCAACACTGGGTGAGTTTTGCCGCTTCTGCCCAGCAGAGGGCAGTATACACGGGCCTAGTCAATTACTCTGCCCACCTGCCTGGCTTATTAATCAGAAGCCTCATTTAATCACTCTGCATAACATCTGAGAAAAATCACTCTTCCTCCCCCCTGTGATTAGAATTTTTTAAAAAGCCTTAAAAAAAAAAAAGCTCTCTAGGGATGGATTGGAGCACTAGAAATAAAAGCCGTTTTATCATAGCCTTTGCTTGTGATGACCGGGCGCAGCTTTATGATGATTCTGCTGTCCCACTGCCCAGCCTGTGTGATGAGGGAGGGCTGTTGGATCGTTCTCCATTGTCATCTGTGGTCATGTGGTAGTGACTGTAAATCACTGTCCCCCACTGTGGCAAGGGGCCAACCTTGGAGCCAGGAGAGTGTTTGAGAGAACATGCCATTTAGGTCAGGCACACCGGGCTCCCGTGTACTCTAACCACAGAGCCCAGCTAGGTATAAGTGGTATTTGCTATCTACTTATAGCAAATGATTCGTCATCATTTATCGGAGATTCAGATTAATAGGACCTACTGTGCAGTCTGTCCACCGAATCTGGCGACACTAGGCTTTGAACTCCCTAGCAGTGGAGATGTTGATGTGAAATGGGGGACAGGAGAAGAAGCCTCATTGGCCACTGCTGAACATGGCGACCCCTGGGGTCCAGAGCCTGACACAATCAGTGCTGTTCCACAGCCTGGTGTTTTGCTCTCTTCCAGCTACATTGTCACAGGTGACATTAAGGGCAACATCAAGTTCTACGACCACACCCTGTCTGTCGTCAACTGGTACAGTAACTTCAAACTAGGTGCCATAAGGACGCTGTCCTTTTCAAAGGCCCCAGCAAGTCCGCCTACCGAGAAATCCAACCTCCCCATAGACTGCACTTTGAAAGGTGACCTTTTCGTCGTCCGGTGAGTCGTTAATGAATGGCGTCGCTTGGATGGCCCTGAAATGACTGATGGCCCCTTTCAGCTTGCATGCAGTGCAGTGAATGTTCCTCTTGTTCCTAGGATATAGAGTTAAGAGAGTTCACCTTCTTAGTTTTACAGGTGGCTCTCCTTGGCTGGTTGCAGTCAGTATTAGATTGTTTTTGGTTTGGTTTGGTTTTTCGAGATAGGGTTTAACTGTGTAGCCTGGACTATCCCGGAATACACACTGTAGACCAGGCTAGCCTGGAACTCACAGAGATCCCCCTGCCTCTGCCTCCCTACTGCGACACTACCACTTGACTTGTGTGTTTTGTTTTGTTTTGTTTCAAGACAGGATTTCTCTGTGTTGCCCTGGAGATTTTTTTTTTTTTTATTAAAGGTTTTAACTACTTAGCTGCCTGAGTAACTGGAAGCTGGGTGGCTTTTATCCCCCAGTTCTTATCTCCACTGTGCCTGGGGTCCTTGGCCGTGGAGTGACCTCATTTCTTGGAGCTGAGCTTGTCCTAGCCACCGAGGTTAAAGGCATTGGGTAATCAGTAGCCATAACATTTCAGGACTGAATTATCTGCGCGTCTGCTTAATTACCCTTGCAGTCTTTACAGGCACATCTGTATGTGTGCACCCAACTCCATATTTGCATACACAAATGAATATTTGCATGTGCAGATTAGCTAATTGTACAACTGACTGTCCATCTGCATACTTAATGACTCAATTTACATGAGGAAAAGTGGGCTTTTTTCACTTGCAAATGGAGGCTGTTGGATGTTGGCGGTATATTTTTGGAGCTGTTGGGTTAATAATGTCACCAAATTATAGACGACAAAGGCGGTTCATGGGCAATTAGAAGCAGAATGGCTGGTGTGGCCATTCCCTGCAAACGCTGATCCTGTCGGGTCTCTCTCTGGCAAACAGGAATTTTATTATCGGAACATTTGACGCCACGGTGTACCACATGACGGCAGATGGCACCAGACTCGAGAAGCTCTTTGTGGAGCCCAGGGATGCCGTCTATGCTATCTCCTGCCACCCGTACCAACCCCTCATTGCGGTTGGAAGTGTCTGTGGGATGATCAAGGTGTGGGACTACGAGAAGAAGATGTATCTGTTCAGCAGGGCCTTCGAGAAGGGGCTTGGAGTCCAGAGTCTGACCTACAACCCCGAAGGTACTCTCACTGTCAACAGGGTCCAAGATACCCAAAGGGGCCGTGCCCTGGGCTGTCACCAGCTGGTTTTCCCACTCCCCCGCCTCGCACACAGCTATACCATAGCGACCTTCCCAAGTGTCTCTCTTCCCATTTTCTCTGTGGCGTTTTTTTTTTTTTCTTTTGCTTATTGCTGTCCAGCAAAGCCTGCCGCAGACACACCCCTGGAATGAAGGAGGTCCTTTTTTTTTTTTAAACTTATTTATTTTTTAATTTTATGTACATTGATGTTTGGCCATGGGCGTCAGGTCCCTGCAACTGGAATCACAGACAGTGGTGATCTGGCATGTGGGTACCGGGAATTGAACCCGGGTCCTCTGCGAGAGCAGCCAGTGTTCTTAGCCATTGAACCTTCTCTCCAGCCCCCAAGGAAGTCCTCATTTCTGTCCTTGTCCTCTGACTTGTCTTTTCAGGAGCCCTGCTTGGAGCTGGATTCACCGAGGGGACAGTTTATATTCTGGACGCGATGTCTTTAGAAAATGAAATTCCAGAGCCCTTCAAATATTCCAGAACGAGCGTGTCTCACGTCAGCTTCTCGCACGACTCCAACTACTTGGCGACGGCTGTGAGTCCTTCCCTCTGCTCAGGGCTCTTTCCGAACCAAGAGGCGAGGAGTATAAGGAAAGCGGGGAGGTGGGGGGGCTCGCATCCCAGTCAGGCTGTGGTACAAAGGGGAGGGGAGGGGGTTGGTGACGTACAAGGGCTTCTGCAGGCAGACAGGAGCAAGGCCTCAGAACTTCCAGACTTGGATTCTGCAGACCCGGGAGCTGGTTGTCGTGTTTCTGGGACCCCAAGACCCAGGGACTGGCTCTTGTGTTTCTGGGACCCCAAGACCAAGGGCTGGCTGTCGTGTTTCTGGACCCCCATCTTTCTGTACCCCATCCTTCCTCCTCACTCATTTTGACAAGGCAGCCTCCTCATTGATCTCAATGTCCTTCCTCAGGATTTCAGACTCTGTTCCTTCCCTCTGTGACTAGGGGCATGGGATCTCAGGAAAGTGGTTCTGGCTGTCCCCTGGTCTGCCTTTCTGTCCGGTGTGGCAGGGTGGTGGTGATGGTGGTGGTGGTGATGGTGGTGGTGGTGAGGAGGAGGAGGAGGAGGAGGAGGAAGAGGGGGAAGGTCCTCATGGGGGGCCACTTCCCTCTGGCATCCCACCACATCCAGCCTGGCTTGTACACACAGCTCCGGTAAGGATCAGAGCTGTCCTGGCACCCAGCATGGACATCAGACCTTCCTGCCGGCTGCTCTCTGCCCCTCTGTACCTGTACCTATACCGGACCTTTTTTACTTTCTGTAGTAGAGAAAAGTAGGGGGGGACAAAGGCAAAAGCCTCGGGGCCATGGCTTTCCCTGGGGCACTGTGTAAGAGCATGGGAGGAAGGAGTGAGACTGTCCTCGCATTGTCCTTCCTCCCCAGTAACCTCAGTCTCCCGGTCTGCAGAATGGGCACCACGCTTCCTCCTTGTTCTGCTGTGCTAAGATTTATTTGGATAAGATGTTCTGTAGGCCGACGGGTCTGAAGACCATGATGGCGCTTCTCAGATCCTAAAGTCGAGGGACAGCTTCCGCTCTTGCTCCTTTAGGATGTCAGTTTCACCGTGGCCGTGTATAAGGTGGTGGTCATAGACGGACAGAGGGTCTGGGAATATCTGGCGAGACTCCGCTCTCATCATAACAGCATCCGAAGCCTCCTGTTTGGTGTTCACCTGGATAGCAATGAACCCAGGCTGCTGAGCCTCGGGAAAGACAGGTTCCTGGTGAGCTGTTCAGTTCGGTTTGCTCATCCCCAGCGCCATACCCCTCACCCCACCTCACCCCACCTCACCCCACCTCACCCCACCTCACCCCACCTCACCCCACCTCACCCCACCTCACCCCACCCCACTGCACCCGACCCCCGTCCTGCCCATTTCACCCCTGACATTTTGTGCAAACTCAACTGTGGGAGCCCGTTCTCGGGTTCCTCGTGGCTTTACCCAGCAGGTCCGCATAGAGGATGATTGGACCACGGGCCTGAGTGCAGGTGTCTGGGATGGTCTGCACTTGGCTGTGCTGGGGGAGGAGGTCTTTTGTTCCACCCCTTGGCGTCTCTATAAAAACCCTGGGGCAGAGCTAGCCTGGGCTCGTTGGAATAGGTTCCAGGCCCTCTTGAGGCTATCCTTTATTTTCTATCTGTTTATCTCCACAATCTAAATCCTTCTATCTAATATTTTCTGTTGCTCGCACTCAAGAAAACTCTGGGGAGCTGTTTGTGGGGTTGGTGGGTAAACGCCCCGCACTCCATCTGTAACGTGTGCAGAAAAATAACTGTATGGTGAAGTATGTGTGGTGGAGTCTCACAGAGCTCTCCACACTGGCATCTCTGAGGTGACGGCTCATGTGGCTTATGTCCCGAGGTGGGGATTTCGGGTAGGTGGGCAGCAGGGAGGGTGTGTCCCACACAGGACAGATGATGCGGCTGCCTTCACCTCCCAGAGACCACTGGGAAAGCTGACACTTGCCGATGCCTCCTCGGCATCCAGAGGTCGGGGTGAGACTGTGACTTACCTGAGAAAACAGCAGGACAGGGGACAGTAAGGCAGCCGAATTTGCTTTCCATTGCTGTGAGAAAACACTGAGCAAAACTTGGCTTATACCTCACAGTCCCTCATTCAGGGAAGCGGAGGCAGGAACTGAGGCAGAGGCCATGGAAGAGTGCTGGTTACATCCACGGGTGTGAGGGTTTAGGGTGTTGAGCCCATCATCCTGCTTCCTGTGAATCCTCCGTGAAGGTGGCACCCAGGTGTAGAGTCAGGGAACTTAGGGACCCAGCCAGTTACCATACAGATCGACACCCAAGGCTTGAAGCTTCTCAGCCAAGTTTGTCTGCCAGCTGAGCCGGTGGTTCTCAACCTCTGGGTCGTGACCCCTTTGGGGGTGGGGGTGTTGAACAGCCCTCTCAGAGGGATCTCCGAAAATTATCAGAAAACACAGATACTTAATTACAATTCATAACAGTAGGAAAATTACAGTTACGAAGTAGCAATGAAAATAATGTTATGGTTGGGGGTCACCACAACACGAGGAACTGTATTAAAGGGTCGCAGGGTTAGGAAGGTTGAGAACCACTGAGCTGGGTCTTCATGCGTCCCCTGTGCGCCTCTGCAGATAGAGTACAATCTCATCAAGAGCTACAAAGACCACCTGGAAGTCCTGGACATTCACCGAACGGACCAGGGGACCTACCCTACCTGTATGATCTGGTACCCGCCGCTCACCAAGGAGCTCTTCCTGCTTATCTGTAACAGCTGCTACAAAGTGAAGCTTTTCAATTCCACCACGAAAATGTGCAGGTGAGCCAGGGCATCCCATTAATGTGCTGGCTACCCCCACTTTTCAGCCCCCAGTTGGTAACAGCTCATCCCTTTCCCTTCTCAAAGGGAGAAACTGAGTCACAGATAACGTAAGTCAGGTTCACCCAAAAACACACAGCGGGGCCATGCCTGAGGAAGGATGCCAGCTTGGGGTCCTTGCTTTCTGTCAGGTGCCAGGGAGGTAAGGGTCCCAGAGCTTGGTGCCCATGTATCTCTGAAAGACACAGCTTTGGAATCTAAGTCACTGGTGTTCCCAAACCCGCCATCCTTTTTTATACAGGAGAAAAAAACCAAACCAAAACCAACTATTTAACAAAACACGACAAATGTTTGATTTTTGTTGTGGTTGTTTTGATTTGATTTGGAGAGAGGGTCTCTGTAGTCCTGGCCTCTGCCTCCTGAGTCCTGGGATCACCTGTGTGTGCTACTACGCCTGATTCTTCTCAAGCTGCTTCACAAAGGAGTTTTCAGTCCAGCTAATCACATTTATTTGTTCATTCCTAACATGGGCCAGGTAGTGTCCCGGGTGGTAAAGGTGGGTACAAAGTGCCACCATTGGGCGGACACTTCAGTGATGGGGAAGCCACATGAGTGAGTAGGTGGGGGTGGCAGTGTCGTGCAGAATGACAGGAGGGACAGGTGTCCAGAGGGAGTTCCTGGGGGGCAGATGGGTTGCTGTCTTCCAAGAGTACCGAGGGCAGGGCGTCTTCGGGAGGAAGGAGTAAATCGGGACATGGACATTTGGAGGAAAGCCCACAGACAGGATCTGCAGGAACAAGGTGTTTGGGGTCTAAAGTTCTTAGAAAGAGGCTTGGCTGGAGTGGAATTGGAAGCATGAGTAGAGAGGGTGGGAAGGGAGACTGACCTCTCGTTTCTACCCCACGGCTGGGCTGTGGGATGCAGACTGGGGGGTGCAGCCAGGGTAAGAGGCTGTCCTGTGGAGATGATAGTGGCCTGAAGGTGGCAGGGAAGGATCAGATGGTAAGTGAGATTGAGCGTAGACTTCCCTACATACCTTGAAGAGCGAGGCCCGAGTAGCCAGAAAAGTTGAATTGATCTTGAATGAGTGGGTGTGTGGACAGGGAAGGATAGATTTGAGATCATTAAAATCCAAGTTTGGACATGACAAGTTAGAGAACACACTACATGTGAGAGCTCTGGAGTTAGACTCTTGATTCAGGGTAGAAGCCAAGCTGGAGTCAAGAGCAGAGAGTGTTAAAGCCGTGAGGCAGGAGACTGGGAGGGGAAGGTAGGTGAGGTTGCAGACCACAACCAGAGCTCCCACAGTCACATTTGAGAGGCACACGCCTTTAAACCCAGCACTCGGGAGGCAAAGCCAGGCGGATCTCTGTGAGTTCGAGCCCAGCCTGGTCTATAGAGCGAGATCCAGGACAGGCACCAAAACTACACAGAGAAACCCTGTCTCGAAAAACCAAAGAGAGAGAAGCAGGGTGTGGGGGGGGTATCTTCCTCCCTGCAGGGGTGTTCTGTTGGGTGTGGCCATAGGTTCTGCAAGACCTGTGGGTCCCAGGTTTCCCTCCCCTTGGACACTGACCCTGTGTGCCGTCCCTGGAGCAGGACTGCTGTCTTTAGCTTCCCAGAGTCTTGCAAAGTACTGTCCCTCTGAGGCTGGGGGAGGCTTCATAATTTCCGGACAACCATTAGGCAGGCAGGCCAAGCCTAATGACTCAGCCCTCTACTATGGACTGCAGAGAGAGCTCTACCCTGCAGGGAGCGAGCCTCTCTGCCTAGGACTGACTAGGTGGCGGGACTGGCCGCCAATGGCTGTGTCTGGAAGACCCAGAGGCAGAAGGAATGTTTGATGGGGGAGCCAGCAGCAGCAACTGTGTGCCCAGGCTGCGGGAGGAAGAGCAGAGTTTTAATTGGTTGGTTGGTTTCATTTTGTTTCTGAAAAGGGCTCTTGCTATGTAACCTGTCTCCCAGGTACTGGGATTACAGGCATGCCCGGACATGCTCATACCTTAAAGGGATCTCAGATGAGATTTCCAGAGCCCCCAGGACCCCCCAGACTTCTCTTCCTCTTTGGTTTGCTTTGTGGGTTTTGGTTTTTCTCTTTTGAGACAGTGTCTCATTCTGTAGCCCAGGCTGGCTTTAAACTGACAGTAATCCCCCTGCCTCCACCTCTCAAGTGCTGGGACTGCAAGCATGAGCCATTCCTCCTGCCCATCCCCCCAAACCAAGAACAGTCCTTTTCCAGAAGGCAGGATTGGAACAATGGCAGGGAATAGAATGTGGCACGATGTTTAAAATCCTTGAGAGAATGGGTAGAGAGCCTCAGGATGCTCTCCATGCCCCCTCTTTAATGGACACACACACTTCTGAGCAAAGAACATCCCTGGAAACGCCTAGTTAGTCCTAGAAACTGAATTCAGGGGAAGAGACGCATGCCTCCGATGTGTAGCTCCCACTGACCGTTGATCATCAGCGAAGAGAGACAGAGGTACTGTGTGGTGTGTGTCAGTGGGGTGTGTGTGTGTGTGATGTGTGTGTGTGTGTGGGGGGGTATGTGTATGGTGTTGGTGTGTGTGTGGTGTGTGGGTATGGTGTGTGTGGTGTCTGTGTATGGTGTGTGTGGGGGGGTGTGGTGTCTGTGTGTGTGGTATGTGTGGTGTGTGTGTGTTGTGTGGTGTTTGTGTGTGTGGTATGTGTGGTGTCTGTGTGTGGTGTGTGCGTGCGGTGTGTGTTCATATTTCTGCCTATTGATCATCCATCTTTTGTGTTGTTTTGTTTTGAGACAGGGTTTCTCTGTGTAGCTCTGGCTGTCCTGGATCTCACTCTGTAGACCAGGCTGGCCTTGAACTTGAACCAGGTGGTGCAAGCCTTTGATCCCAGCACTCAGGAGACAGAGGCAGGCAGATCTCTGTGAGTTCGAGGCCAGCCTGGTCTACAGAGTGAGATCCAGGACAGGCACCAAAACTACACAGAGAAACCCTGTCTTGAAAAACAAAAAAAAAAAAACAAAAACAAAAACAAAAGAGATAAATATATTTAAAAAAGAAGAAGAAGAAAACAGTATATAAGGCTGGAGGAATTGGCTCCTCAGGTAAAAAGTACTTGCCACATGAGTCCAAGTGAGGAGAACTGACCCCTGAAAGTTGTCCACACAGCATGTGTGCATCGCCCACCCCCATCACACACACACAATAACAAAAAGCGAAATTAAAAACAAAAAAAAAAAATTGCCATCACCTCTCAAGCTCTCGGCTGAACTCGATAAACTCGAGTACAGGAAATAACTTAGCAAGGTTGGGAGTCCTCTCCTACAGCACTGAACTGCTGTGTGAGTCTGTATGTACATAGTGTAGCCTAGCCACTTTCTCCTCCCACAGTTCTAGAACATTCCTATCCTTCCAAAATAAGAGCCCCTTGTGTACAGCATCTCTCGAGTTAGAGGAAGAGTGAGTCTGGTAAGCACAGTTCAACTGGGGAAGCTTAGCCTTCTCATGATGACTCGAAAAAGAATTTTTAAATGCGTTTTAAAACGTTTGAGCCGGGCGGTGGTGGCGCACGCCTTTAATCCCAGCACTCGGGAGGCAGAGCCAGGAGGATCTCTATGAGTTCGAGGCCAGCCTGGACTACCAAGCGAGTTCCAGGAAAGGCGCAAAGCTACACAGAGAAACCCTGTCTCGAAAAATCCAAAAAAAAAAAAAAAAAAAACGTTTGAAAGGATACGGAAAGGCAGCTTGCAGAAGGCCAGTAAGCTTAGGGGTAGATGCTTAGCAGCCTCTCTGGACGAGGCAGACGAAAGCAAGACATCATTTTTTACAAATGGGATTAGTGAAGATAAAAGTGATTGATGGGGGCCGAGCGGTTGGCAAGGATGTGGGGAAGCGGGCTTGCTCGTCCGACCACTGGTGGGGGTGTAAATTGGCGTAACCTTTGGGGAAAGCAATTTGTCACCCTCTGTTAAGTTTTATACCCTCTGACTTCGAGGAACAGAGCCTGCAGAAGTGCCCGGGCGCGTATGCCAAGACATAAGTAAAAGGATCTCTTGTATGGAAATATGTTTCGAAATGGAGGCAGTTCCAATGTCCGTTAATAGGGCCTTAGTTAAATGATGTCTCGTCAGTGCACCAGAGCACAATGACGCTTTTGGCAAACGGGGAAAAATAATGAGATGGCTGTTTATGCAGTAACATGGCAATGTCTCCGAGATATAGTAAGAGATAAAGCAGATTTCCAAATAAGCATGGAGAGGATAATTCTCTCTTCCGATGAAATCATGTATATGTAAATGTTGGTGAGTCCTATGGACCAAACAATTACCTGTGCCTTTCTTGGGACAGGAGTCAGCATTATAGAATGTGGATGTTCTGTTTTATGAATGTCTAAAGGTTTGAGCCTTTTCTTTTCACAATGAATTTGAAATGTCTTTCCATCAGAATGCAGAGATAAGAATTTTGTAAAATTGGTAGACCGGTTGCCTGTCACTGGCTAATGGTTATTTACGCTATGCCAGAAATGGTTCTGAGTGTTTGTTTTTTTTTTCCCCCTGTATTCACTAAGTTGTGCAGTTCAAGAAAGCATCCGTCACACCCAAAGGGGAACTGGTTCCTGGGCTGCCAATTTGGCTTGGTTGTAGAATGTTTACCTACCATGTACAAAGTCCCGGATTCTAGACCTAGTACCCAATAAGCCAGGCAGGCGTGCCTGGAGTGCCATCACTTGGGAGTGAAGGCAGAAAGACCAGAAATTCAAAGCTATAGCCTCAGCTGCATAGTGTGTCTGAGGCCAGCCTGGACCATATGAGAAAGCCAAACAGAGTAGCAAACTCTGGTTCCCATCGATAGACACTCTCCAGCCCCGCATCCCCGTGTCCCTGGAAACCACTGGCCTGCTTCTGTCTTACGAACTTTTCTATACATGTGAGTATAAGTTCATATTCCTACATATGGAGTCACACAGAGCACGTGGCCTTCTGGGTCTGGCTTCTTTCACTTAACACGCTCTTGAGACTTGCCCACTTTGTGATGTGAACTAGTGTATGTCACGACCTAGGATGCTCACCCGTGGGTCTGAGGATACTCACAGCCATTTGCATTGTTTCCATTTTGTAGCAGTCGTGAGCACTAGGGTGCAGGGTTCGGTGTAGACAGACATGCACAATTTCTTGAATGACCCTAGGATTGGGGTTTCCACAGTCCCCACTCCCCACGACTCCCCCAACCAGGGACAAAGGTCCCAGTTTTTTCATACCTTGTTCCTGGGCTCTTACCTCTGTTGCCCTGCCTCTGTTCACTTCACAGCATGTGGAAGAGCCTCAGGAAAAGGCATTAGCTGATGCGTTTTCTACCTGGTGGGCTCTGTAGTGAACTGTCCCTACCCCTGTGTCCCCTTGTTCTGCCTCTGTCCCTTTCCCGTCACTGTTTATGCCTCTTAGATCCATGTCCCTGCCTTTATTTACCCTTTTCTTCCTGATGCCCATTCTCCTGCTATCCAAGCTGTTCGGCCTGCCTCTGATCCCTCATTCTGCACACAGCTGGCTGCCCCCCTCGGAATACTTCGCTCCAGACCCTGGGACTCACAGCTGTCTCTGCCCTTCTCACTTCAAAACAGCTCTTTGTCTCCTGTCCTGTCTCAGTAGCAGGGGCTAGACCTTGCGCATTTCTGCATCCTGACGGCCTTGCCTCATGCCTGGCATGAGAAGGACCTCTCACACGAGGCTGGTGTGATAGGATCAATTGTCCTTTATCCAGCACTCACATCCCACAGAGGGACCTCACCTCAGAGCAGGCCCCTTGCTCAGGGATGCAGCTGGAATTAGAGAAATCCAGCTGGGTCCAGAGGCTTGTACCTGCAGTTCCAGCTAGGGAGGAGGCTGAGGCAGGAGGCGCTCTTGAGTCTGGGGGTTTGAAGCCAGCCTGAGCAAAATACCAAGATTTAAAAAAAAAAAAAAAAAAAAAAGGTGGAGCCAGTGAGATGAACCAGTGGATAAATACTACCAAGCCTGAGGACCTGAGTTCCATCTCTGGGATGGGAGGTGAGGACCACCTCCCATAAGTTGTACACACCGCCACACATGAGCACAAAGATGTCATAAGAAATGTTAAAGTCGAATTAGAAGCCTGACCAGTGTCACTACGACTTGATACACCGATGGATTTGGAGACCTGTGTGTCCCATAGCCCTGTATTTAGGAATGTCTGGGACAGAAAGAAGGTGCTGTCTCATTCCAGTCCGTGGGCCTGACCTGAGGAATTGGGTGGTTGCTTGCGTCCTGCCAAGGCATGCCGTTTCCTCGAAGGCTTGTCGGTGGTTCAGAGACAGTTTCTTAGGGCACAGTGTCAAGAGGAAAGTCCACACCACAGCCACTGGAAGCCTTCTTCACAGTCCATTCCCCTCAGCTCCCTAGAGCATTTGCTGCTGGGAGCCAAGGCTCCTTATTTACAGCGGCCACTGGCAGCGCTTGAATGAGACGTTCTTGTATAGGGATTAGCTGAGTGACGAGAGAGGAAATCCAGAGTCACAAATATATAAGAAGTCCCGTGTAGTGGTGCATGCCTGTTAATCCCCAGCACTCAGGAGGCTGAGGCAAGGAAGATTGTGAGTTCTCGGCCAGCCTGGACTACATAGCAAGACTCTGAGTCACAAAACAAAACAAAAAACACCATCAACAACAACAAAATAAAAACCCTAAACCCTAAACCACAACACAAGTATGGTAGTGCCAATTCCAGTCTTAAAACAGGCATTGAAGTTTATGGAGTTTACCCCCCCCCCTTTTTTTTTTTCCTATACAGAAAGACACTTCTCGGACCTGCTTACGGGTCTCCTATCGAGTACACCCAGGTGCTCCCTGTAAAGAACACATTCGAGCTGCAGAAACGCCACTTGGTATTCATCAACAAAGATAAGGTGGGCTTCCATTCTCAGCCCCTGCAAAATGATTGTGCAGGGGGTCCACAGACCATGAGATCCAGGGCCGGGGAGACGGCTAGCCAGGAAAGCTGCTTACTGCCTGGTCTGGGGGCCTGAGTTTGAGCCCTGGAACCCGGTGAGAGGAGAGACTGCCTTGGGAAAGCTGTTCTTTGACTTCCAAACAGGCACTGTGGCACAAATGTCCTTTCCCAGATAAATACATTTAATAATCACGTAGATGATAAGATGATCCCTGGGTCCTCAGTTCTGCTGCACAGAATTACCTCCATATGGGTCACTGGCCAAACTGAAAATGGCCACAGGTGCGTGAGACCCTTCTGGGAGGCATTTCTTTCTTTTTAATATGTGTGTGTGTACACGTGTACACGCATGCGTGAACATGTGCCACAGTATGCATGTGGAGGTCAAAGGACAGCTTTCAGGGCTCAGTTCTCTCCTTCCACCATGTGGGTCCTGGGGGTAGAACCCAGTCAGGCCCGGCAACAAGTGAGCTCTCTCACAGGCCCCTAGGACACAGTTTTGAAGAGAGTTCTCAAAGTTTCCCAGTGAAAACTCATAGCCTTCCAAGTTACCCTTTTCCTTCTTTTCATTGACCTGGAAAAATCTAATTTACATGGAAGATACACAAATCGGTGACACCTCGTCCTGTGTTAAACTTGACTCTGACAGATGGCACCAGACGTGTGCGTGCGTGGCACAAGTGTCTGGAGGTAAAGCTCAGGTGTGTCAGGCTAGCTTGAGACTCAGGCCCTCGAGTCTGAGTATCTAATTACACTTGCCTCTCTAGGTCGGACTCCAGATCTTACCTGTTGACGGCAACCCACACAAAACGTGTGCTATCATTTGCCACCCAAGCGGGGTAGCTGGCATGGCCCTTTCCTATGATGGCCGCTATGCCTTCACAGCAGGAGGCGAAGACTGCTCAGTGGCACAGTGGGAAATCAACTTAAGGTATGTGAGGGGACAGAACCTGACCCCATGTGGAAGTGTAGACATCCTTTTTCAAACAATATATTTGTGTGTGTGTGTGCGCGTGTGCATGCACGCACATGTGCATGTTAGTATGCACTTACGCGTGTGGGTGCTTGAGAAGGCCAGAAGAGGGCACTGGATCTCCTAGAGCTGGAGTTCATGGAGTTGTGAACCATTTACACAAGGCTTTTACCCGCTGAGCCCTTGCTCCAGCCTATAGACCCCTCCTCCTTCAATCACAACAGTTACAGGGTGCTTGCTACATGCCCCCATGCTGTGCTAGGACCAAACTGTACCTGGCTCTCAGGATGCTTCCTGGTGACATGTGCAGATCAAAGGCTGCTGTGCAAACTCAGGGACCCTGCACTTAATTTCCAGCTTGGGTGTTGAGAGTGCCCCTGCCTCTGGCTGGCTCCCTGAAGTAGTTCTCAGTGTCTGTGCATACTCATGCTGGCCGGAGAGACCAAGACTGAGCCTCCAGAGTGGGCATTACAGAAACACTAAGGGTGGATTAAAAATCTGTTGCCAGTAGGGCTCCTCTGCCCCTCTCTACCCTGAGAGGAGACCTGGTCTGCCTAAAGTGAAGCTGGAAAATGCTAGACTTGTACACCAGAGAGCATATAGGTCCTTTAAGGTCAAAGAGATAAGGGTTGCGGTATAGCTTGGAGTCTGCTCCAGAATCTGGGCGGTTTTATTAATGTCGCTAATCCTTAGAGTCTGTCTGTGTAGTGGGGGTAACAACTTTTACAGGACCCCGTATGGATCAGACAGGTTGACATAGGTGAATGCAGAAGCCAATCTATAAATTATGGCATCCTTCCTTTCCTTTCCTCCTGAGAAGGGCGTTTGTGTATGAGACGGGTCAAGCGCTGAACGTGACCCTCTCATCCATCTAAACGCAGTGGTCTGAACCAGGGCGGAGCCAAGGGCTGGGCAGCCAGATCATGTTTCTCATGACTGGGTCCACGCAAGCTCCAGGGGCAGACGGCACTGGCACCTTCCTCCCTCAAAGAGCAGCCTGATTCATGGCTCCCCGTAACGTCTGCACCCGCCATCTGCCAAGGGCACGTCCTTCTCTTTACGGCAGATGTTAACGCTTTCCTTCTTACTCTGAACTTGAGTGAAAATAACTGACAAAATCTGTTCGGGTGCCGTGATGGCTTCTGGTTCAGATTGTGGTTGCAACTCTGCCTTTTGCTCTGCCAGCCCAGGTGAGCCGATCCAGGGACCTGAGGGACTGGGAAATGGGGGTGGGGGGGTGGGGTGTGTGTGTAAGCTAGCTCTCCATCCAGAAGCACTTACCCAACAGGCCCAGTGTGGCACCCACATGCCACCTGCAATCCTTGGGGCCAGTGGCACGCTGGAGGGAGGTGAAGTCTCCCCATTTTGGTTTCTGCCCTCAGTCCTTGTGGGATCCAATAGGGATCTCCAGTAGCCTCCTTATGCTTGGCCAGAATCCAGGCTTCTGAGAATTTCAATTTAATCTGTTGTGGGGACAAAGGATCATTATAAACTAATTAACACTTTATTGCTGCTTCTGGTGACTTAATATGTTCAGCATTTCACTAATGGAAAGAAATGTAAAAACCCCAAACAAGTAAACAATACACTTCTCTCCCAGGGCCCAGGCTGTAGCCCGGTGTTTGACTAACATGCATGAAGCTTTGGGTTCCATCCCCAATACCACATAGACGTGTGTGCTGGTTCATTTTATATCAACTCTCGACAATGGCTAAAGTCATCTGAGAGGAGGAACCTCAATTGAGAAGATGAGTCCATAAGATTGGGCTGGAAACAAGCCTGTAGAGCATTTGATTGATGGGGAAAGGCCCAGCCTATTGTGGGTGGGGCTACCCCTCGGCTGGTGGTCCTAGGGTATTTTTTAGGTGTTTTTTTTTTTTTAGACAGTATTTCTCTGTGTATCCCTGGCTGCCCTTAGACTCACTCTATAGAGCAGGCTGGCCTCAAACTCACAGGAATCCACCTGCCTCTGCCTCCCAAATGCTGGGACTAAAGGCGTGCACTGCCCAGCTGTCCTGGGTTCTGAGAGAGAGCAGGCTGAGCAAGCCATGGAGAGCAAGGCAGTAAGCATCATTCGTCCGTGGCCTCTGCATCAGCTCCTGCCTCCAGGTTCCTGTCCTGATTTCCTTTGAGGATGAACAGTGATACGGAAGTGTTAAGCCAAATAAACCCTTTCTTCCCCAAATAGCTTTGGTCACTGTGTTTCATCACAGCAATAGTAACCCTAAGACAACCCATCATGGTGGCACAAGCCGCTAATCCAGCAGGTGGAGGTGAAGGTGGAGGCAGGAGCATCAGAATATCAAAGTCAGCCGGGCGATGGTGGCGCACGCCTTTAATCCCAGCACTCGGGAGGCAGAGCCAGGCGGATCTCTGTGAGTTCGAGGCCAGCCTGGGCTACCAAGTGAGTTCCAGGAAAGGTGCAAAGCTACACAGAGAAACCCTGTCTCGAAAAACCAAAAAAAAAAAAGAATATCAAAGTCGTCCTGGTTGAAAGTTAGCCTGGGCTACATAAGACCCTCTCTAAAAGAAAGTTTTGTGCTAAATTTACTGATGCTAGAGCTATAGAGTGGAGTGGAGTTGGAAAACCTCCCACCTCCACCCTGCTCACACAAAAGCAGAGACCTGGATTCAAACCCCAGCTTGGTCAGACATGGGAACTCGTGACAGTAATCCTAGTACTCAGGGGTAACGGCAGGAGGTCAGCAGTTCAAGGCCATCCTCAGCTACATAGTGAGGTCAAGGCTAACCTGAGGTACATAAAACGCCAAATATAAACAACAACAAAATAATCCTAGACTATAACTCCTCTGAGCCCCAGCTTTTCCATGCGATGGATGGGGTACCACCCCATGCCCCCTTTGGGGAGCATCTCCCAGGCACTTGCTTGATGTTACTCATGATGTGCCTGGTGTCTCCAGCCCCAGCCCCTTGCCTAGAAGCACCATGCTATTCCTGAGTATACATATGTTCAATAAATGCCACTTTCTGGGGCTGGAGAGTTGCCTTAGCGGTTAAGAGCACTTGTTCTTGCAAAGAACTGGGCTTTGATTCCCGGCACCCACACAGAGGCTCACCACTTCCTTAAGGCACCAGGCATGCATGTGGTGCACACACACATACATGCAGGCAAAGCACTCATACACACAAAATAAAAATCTAAAAATCTAAAAAAATAAATAAATTTCACGTTCCTTCTGTGCCTCAGTGATCTCCCTCCCTCCCTCTCTCCCTCCCTCCCTCCTTCCCTCTCTCTCTTTCTCTTTCTCTCTCTTTCAGTGTGAGTATTGAGACCCCAATTTAGGCACAAGGAGGCTTTTGGGAAGGCAGCTGGAATCCCATGTGGCTGCTTGGCCACAGAGCAGGACCTGCAACATAGCCCCCGACTTGTGGCCCTCAGCCTTCTTCCTGCCTAGCTCTGCCCTCAGTGTCTTCCTCTTCAGCTTCCTCAGGTTAGAGCTCTCGCCACAGAGAGAATGGATCTCTTTCTTTGCTCTGGCCAGAGGAATTTGGTCCCTCTAGGGTCCGCAGGCAGTGGCAGGAGCAGGACGCGTGTGGCGCCGTGGTGACCGCAGAGCCCAGCGAGTTGGGCCATCTTAGGGAGCCGAGTGCATGTGCCGCCTTCCCCTGGAGTGGTGGTTGTTTTCTCACTCTTAGGGGGCCCGCCACCCAGCTCCCAAACCAATACCTGGAGACTTACTTATTCTTACTTATGAATGCCCAGTCTTTAGCTCCGCTTATTTCTGGCCAGCTTTTCTTAAATTATCCCATCTACCTTTTGCCTCTAGGCTTTTACCTTTCTCTGTTCTATCTACCTTTCTGATGTCCTCCTCTCCTTCTCCCTTTCTTGCTCCTCTCTCTTTTCTCTCTCTTTATTCTCTCCACCTGGCAGCCCTGTCTATTTATCTCTCCTGCCTAGCTATTGGCCGTTCAGCTCTTTATTAGACCAATCAGGTGTTTTATGTAGGCAAAGTAACACAGCTTTGCAGAGTTAAACAAATGCAACATAAAAGAATGCAACACATCTTTGCATCATTAAATGAATATTCCTTGGCGTAAACAAATGCAACACATATTAAACTAATATTCCACAACATTACCCTTAGGGGTTCCTGGTCGTGACAGGCTCCCATGTCCCTTCTGGTCCTGATACCCTGCTCTAGGCAGCATATTTAAAAGTGGCTTTGTTACCCTTTGGGTCAGGAATAGGCCAGGTTTGGCCTGGGGGCCACAGGGAAGGAACAGCTAGCTGATCACCTGCCTTCATAGTTTTCTGTCAGAGCCAAGAAGTAGGGTGAAGACTGGGCCCTGCAGGAGAAGACCCCAGGCTCATATGGGGAACAAATGCATCAGGCCATCCCCTGGACCCAGCAGCAGGGCAGAGACACTCTGTGGCTCTTATGAGAGGGGTAAGGGCATGTCAGTGCCCATCAGCCCTTGGTATGGACATAGCTGTGCTTCTGGGCTTGACCCTTTCCTGGGTGTTTTACACTGTCCTCTCGACCTCATCCTCACAGCCATCCTGGGAGACAAGTGCTATTCTTATCCCCACATACGGGTCACTAAACATCCAAGGGGCCTATTGATGGTTCAAGTGATGGACTGGTACCCGAGAAAAATAAAGGGCCAGCGGCAAATCCTTCATGTGTGTTTACTTATTTAATTCTTATGGCAGCCCTGTATGACCCTACCCATTTCGCAGATGAGGAAACTGAGCAGAGGTGGTGTAGCTCAAGGTCATACAGCTTACAAGTGACGTAGTCGGGGCTCACAGGCATGTCCCTGTGACTCCAGTTCTGGATCCTTCAGTTCTTACCATAGGTCTTCACTGAAGTGGGGTTCTAATTCACTGAACTAGCAGAAATCCAGTGAGTGGCTTTTTTTTTTTTTTCTTTCTTACAGTGACTTTAGATTATTTGCCTTTTGTGTGAGGAAAAGTCGGTTGGTCTCATGCAAAAGTAGGTTTTCTTCCCATTCAAAGGGCCTATTTTTGGAGAATCTGACCCTATGCTAGAGAGCAGAGGGTTATTTTTATCCACTTGGCATGGGTCCCTGTGATCTCCCGGGCTTTTCTGGAAGCAATTAGCGCTGACAGTACACCTGCACAACACCCCATCCTTTTGGTGCTGGTTGGCCGTGCTCAGCTCAAGAGGGTTGAGGTCTCAGACTGGAGCCTCCCCCCGCCGCACCCCCAGGAGAGATGTGGTCCCCAAAGATTTCAGACAAATTGCCAAGCACCTGCCCTATCATCAGAATGAGCATATCATCATAATTAAGGTGGGTGCCCTGTACGGCTGCGTTCCACGCTTGAAACTGAATTTTCTGTCACAGGCTTCATCACTGAGGGACAAGAGACCCTGCCGAGGCCACCGTCTGTGGGACTCCATGACTTCATGCATGAGTACTTCCTAATGGTGATGTTTCTCATTGTTCCAGTGCCCTGGAGGCGGCTGTTTCTCTTGGGGGTGAAGACTTGACCCCGTTCTACGGTCTGGTGGCTGGTGGCAGGGAAGGAAAATTCTACAGGGTAATTGTCATCAAACACTTCCTGGGGACATCTAGTCAAGGCTGTCCAGCAAACATTAGAGACTGACCCTCTGTGCGTTTCCATAAAGCCCCCTCCCCGTCACCGAGCTTAGAATACGCTTTCTAGAAAATGTCCCCTTCCTGGATGTGTCTGACTGTTCGTTCTGTGTGCTGTTTCTGTTTGGTCCCACACAGGAGCTGGAGGACTACTTCTACTATTCTCAGCTCCGCAGTCAAGGTATCGATACGATGGAGACCAGGCAGGTGTCAGAACACATCTGCCTGTCGGAGCTCCCCTTTGTCATGAGAGCGATTGGTTTTTACCCATCAGAGGAGAAGGTAGGTAGAGCGCCCGCAAGATCAGAGCTGGGATGGGCTATTTATATCAAGCGCTTCCGGGAACAGTCACTGCAGGCCAGCCTGGAAACATGCCATTTTTTTTTTTCTGAAGTAAATAGATCAGCAAGAAGATTCTGAGGACTTCAAATGGGCTGAGTAACTGACTGAAGGTTAACATGCACCCATTCCCCAAGACAGATTCCTTGTAGATGTGGGGTATTAGGTGCAGCAGGGCCTCCTCAACCTTGGCTGCACCCCCCCCCCTTTTTTTTTTCTTTGAGACAGGATCTCTGTGTAGCCCTGGCTGTCCTTGAACTCTCTCTGTAGACCAGGCTGGCCTCGAACTCACAGAGATCCACCTGCCTCTGCCTCCCCAGTACTGGGATCAAAGGCATGTGCCACCACGCCGGGCCTGCAAAACCTTTTTTGCCCAAGAATTTTTTACACAACCCTGGGTATATTGGTGTATAAAATAGATACACAAATCAAACATTTTGCTGATAATAAACAATGAAGAAATCTATTTTAAAGGAATTTTGTGGCTTCCATACAGTTTTACCATTTGTTGAAGACAAATTTTCATACTATTGAGATGGTCATGTTCATTTGTTTTTACATAAAGAATAGAATCTTCCTGAATGTCTGATGCTGCAGGATGTAGAGTACCTTCAGTGTTTTTCAGAGGTGGCTGAGATTTGGTTTTGTCATTGTTAATCCCAAGAATACTGCTTCACATAAATGCATGATGCCAAAAAAGTCAGGATGTATTTGGGGCCCTTTCAGAAGTGGTTGGAAATTCTAATCTCAAGTCAAAATTTATACAGTGATTTTTAAAAAATGAAACTTTAGTCAGCAACTCAAACAGCAATTCTTGAACATTTTGAGTTGAGGATCTAGCTCAACAGGGCTCTTGCCTAGCATGCCTGAGGCCCTAGGTTCGAACCCCAGGACTAGGGGCAAAAAAAAAAATCGAAATTCTAATGGAGTACATTCTAAATATATTCTGATACTCACATGCTGAGCAGCAATGGTAGGAAATATGGAGAGTCTTTGTTTTCCATAGTTAAATGATCATATTTCTGCAGAAAAACACTGCAGTTTGCAGTGTGTAGTTACGGATCCCAGCCAAGGTTCTTGTTGGCACTCAGTGGTGTTTTGCGGCGTGAAGGCATTTATGGCAAGTACGTACATGTGTGTTCAGAACCAAGGTTGTTTGACGCAGCACTGGGTGATGAGTGCTGCCATGAGCCCCTCGGATTGATGGCAGGTTTGACCTTGAGCATATTTTCAGTTGCTATGTCTTCAGAAACCATTTACTGCTACCAAGCTTGTAAATTCATTGCATGGCCCCATATGGGGGTTGCAACCCATAGTTTTTAAAAGATGGATTTATTTTTATTTAATATGTATGGGTGTTTGGCCTGCATGCATGTTTGTGTACCATGTGTGTACCTGGTGCCCATGGAGATTAAAAGAGGGTGCTGGATCCCCTGGAACTGGAGTTACAGACAGCTGTGAGCCGCCATGTGGTTGCTGAGAATTGAACCTGGGTGTGTTGTACCCAGAGTCCCCCAAAGACCACCAAGAGACCAAATCTGATGCAAAAGCAAAGAGTCTTTATATTTCGAGTTAACTTGGGTCTTTTCATCCGTCTGATGCAGCAGCAGAGCAGCAGAGACCCCGAGTAGCAATGGGGCAGGTTTTTAAAGCAAGGGGGGCTTGGGGTCTACAGACTACATAGAAACAGACTCAGGATTGGTTTGTGCCAGTGGCAATCATGTCAGTAACTTTTAATTGGCTAGGGTTAGTTGGGGGGTTACAGTTATCCATTTTTGGGCAGGCCTGGACAAGCCCCAGGCTTTGTCCTTGAGCTGCTAGGGAGGCTGGCTGGCCTAGCACGTACTGACTGTGGGGGCTGACTCAGTGGCCCAGGCTCTGTCCTTGACTCATGCACATAGCTCTAAGTTGGTGAGGGGTCCCAGACAGTAAACAACCGACTGAACCTTGAGCAGTCAGAGTACGTGCAGAAAGGGAGCTACCACAAGGACTATGTCTTTTGTTCGTGGCCCTCCCAGAAACTGCTTGCTCAAGTCTCAGGAAACTGAAATTGAGGCCTGATCTCTGAGAGAAGACTGAGCAGCCTGTTATGGCATCTGCCTGGTCCTTTCAGGTCCTCTGGAAGAGCAGCCAGTGCTCTAACCACTGAGCAGTCTCTCCAGCCCTAAACCTACAATTTAAGAAGCAGAGAGTCAGGGGATGGAGAACTGGGCACGTGAGGCTGGTCTACCTCTGCCCTCCCTGCGCAAGGACAAGAACCCTGGGCTTCAGGGGGTGATGTGTCCAAGGCAGGGAGCACATCACCGGGTGTGTAGAAAGAGCTCGGTACCTTGTCTCCTTCTGTATAGTTGCCATTAACCTGGTGTATGTTCTTGGGTCAACTCTGGGACGTGGACGGATGCTGGTCCTGACTCTGTAGCTCAGACATGAGTCTGACCACATGGCAGAAATCCCCAGACACTAACAGCTCTGGACAGGGCCAAGGAGCCCACGTGTGTTCCTAACGGGAACTCTTCTAAATATAACTTACAGGATTTCCTTTCTGAGTTGAAATGTGATACAGTCTCATTGCAGAAAATTTGGGAAAGATTTGCAGGTAGAATGAAGAAAAATTACTTATAATATAATCCTACCACCCAGACTTGACTCTTACTATTATTTTCCTGGTGTTTATGCATTTAGACAGTGAATGTTGACTACACTGAATGTATATGACCGCCTTGTATCCTTATATTGTATGACATGTCATAAGCACTTTCCATTTGGTTAGAAATTCTCTAGAAAAAAAATATGTTCTTTTTAAGATACTTATTTTGTATTTATGTGTGCTGTATGCATGGGGGGGTGTGGGGGTGTTGTCCTGTCTATCACTTGCCCTTTTTTAAAAGAAATGTACTTATTTATTAGCTGGGCGGTGGTGGCACACGCCTTTAATCCCAGCACTCGGGAGGCAGAGGCAGGTGGATCTCTGTGAGTTCGAGGCCAGCCTGGTCTACAGAGCGAGATCCAGGACAGGTACCAAAACTGCACAGGGAATCCCTGTCTCAGAAAAAAAAAACTAAAAACAAAAAACAAAAACAAAAACAAAAACCACAACATAACAAAACAAAAACAAAAAAAATTACTTATTTATTTACTCTTTTTTTTTTTTTTCCGAGACAGGGTTTCTCTGTGTAGCTTTGGCACCTTTCCTGGAACTCACTCTGTAGCCCAGGCTGGCCTTGAACTCAGAGAGATCCGCCTGACTCTGCCTCCCGAGTGCTGGGATTAAAGGCGTGCGCCACCACTGCCCAGCTTGTTTTGGTTTTTTGTTTTTAGGACCTCTCCATGTAACTTTGGCCTGAAACTTGTAATGTAGACCAGGTTGGCTTCAAATTCATAGAGATACACCTGCCTCTGCCTCCGGAGTGCTGGGATTAAAGGTACAAATGACACCATGACCCACTCTTACAGCTGTATCTTACAAAGCAATATTCTTTTTTTTTTTTTTTTTTTTTTTGGTTTTTCGAGACAGGGTTTCTCTGTGTAGCTTTGCGCCTTTCCTGGAACTCACTTGGTAGCCCAGGCTGGCCTCAAACTCACAGAAATCTGCCTGGCTCTGCCTCCCAAGTGCTGGGATTAAAGGTGTGCGCCACCACCGCCTGGAGGCCAAAGCAATATTCTTAAACGTTGGCTTCCAAACTGGCCGTCGTATCAGAATTACTTTGAACCTTTGTCACGTAAGTGAGATGGGATTCCTAGGCCTCACCACAGGCTGAGTACCATAGCCAGCGAGGACAGGGGCTGCTAGGGTCTCATCTGTCCAGGGTCTTTCAGATATGCCGCCGCCGTGTGGAGAGCCCTGACCTCGGACACCAGCTCTGAGTGTCACTTCCCAGGGCTGCTCACCATCGAGGATAAGGGCTTGACACACACTGCAGGGTTATTGGTCAGGAACCCTCTTTGGCTGTAAGTTACAGGTATCTAAGGCATGCCAGGTCTTCTTGGTTCAAAGGAGCCAAATCCTGTAGTAGAGGCAGTGTGCGGCTTAACCGAACCCAGAGCCTCACATGCAGCTCCAGGAAACGCCCTTCTGTCTGGTCCTCTCTTGCTTTTGTGTTGCCCTGGACTGTGGTCTGTCCTCACCCCTGCCTGTGCCTAGGAGGCCGCAAACCCAGATACTGGGAAGAGCTTCCTTTCCAGAGCCCTGGTCATCACTTGGTAACGGTGGGCCTGACCTCATCACTGTCCAGGAGCACATACTGCCCAGGCTGCTAAGCATGAACACTTCCTAGAGGCTGCAACAGGTTTGGCCCATGTGGGGACTTGAGCAGAGTGGAATGGTTCCCAAATGAGATCCTGCCGACGCCCTGGAATGTGGCTCAGTGGTGGAGCTCTTGCCTAGCATCTGGGTTCCATCCCCAGCTCTGTATGGGACAATGGTGGCACCCACATCCTGGGATTACTGGAAAGATTTCGTGGGTAGCTAGCTGTTTAGCTCAGTCCACAGGGCATGGTAAGTATCTGAAAAGCATCCGGTGTCTTTTCGTAGTCCTACCTCTGGCTAAAGGATTACAGGCTAGAAGTCAAGGTTCCCACCCTTTTCTGTGCAGGGGCTAGAACCCAGGGCTTGGGCTTGACACATGCTGAGCAAGCACACTGACACCAAACTGCCTCCCCAGCCCTCAAAAGTTCAAGGTTATCCTCAGCTATATAGCTAGTTCTAGACTATCCTGGGCTACATAAGACTCTGCCTCAAAAAACCCCAAATGACAAAAAAAAATCTACTTGGGCTGGAGGCGTAGCTCAGTGGCGTGGGTCTTGCCTGGCCAAGGCCCAGGTTCTAGCCCAGCACCACCCGCCCTGTGCACACAGATGCATTTACTCTTTGGAGATGTTCCTGTGATCCAGATGTGCCCCACACCAGCCTGCAGCCTTTGTTAGTTGGTGCACTCGCTGCACAA